TTCTGAGGGAAATTTTTGTGATTTGGGGGAATTTTTGAGGGGATTTTGGGGAAATTTTGTGGAATTTTGGGACATTTGGAGGATTTGGGGGAAAAATTTTGGGGATTTTGGGGGGGGTTTGTGGGGGAAATTGTAAAATTTGGGGGAAATTTGGGGGAAATTGAGGAATTTTGCAGGGATTTCTGAGGGGATTTTTGTGATTTGGGGGAATTTTTGTGAGATTTTGGGGAAAATTTGGGAATTTTGTGGAAAATTTGGGGAATTTTGCAGGATTTTTGAAGGAAATTGGGGATTTTTGGGGAAATTTTGAGGGGAAATTGAGGAATTTTGCAGGGATTTCTGAGGGGAATTTTGTGATTTGGGGGAATTTTTGAGGGATTTGGGGGGAAATTTTGTGGGATTTTGGGGAAATTTGGGGGATTTTGGGGAAATTTGGAAATTTTGTGGAGGAATTTGGGGGTTTTGGCAAAATTTGGAATTTTGGGGGGATTTTTGAGGGGAAATTTTGGGAAATTTGGGATTTTTGGGGTAAATTTGAGGGGAAATTCAGGAATTTTTGCGGGGGTTTCTGAGGGGAATTTTTGTGATTTGGGGAAATTTTTGAGGGGATTTGAGGGGAAATTTGGATTTTTTAGGGAAAATTTGAAATTTTGTGGAAATTTGGGGGTTTTAGCAAAAATTTGGGAATTTTGCAGGGATTTTTGAGGGATATTTTGGAAATTTGGGGATTTTTGGGGGAAATTTGGGGGAAATTAGGAAATTTGCAGGGATTTCTGAGGGGAATTTTTGTGATTTGGGGGAATTTTTTGAGGGATTTTGGGGAAATTTTGTGGATTTTTGGAAAATTTGGGGTCTTTGGGAAAATGTGGGGGAATGTTGGGAAAAATGGGAAATTTTGCAGGGATTTTTGAGGGAATTTGGGGATTTTTGGGGGAAATTTTGGGGGGAATTGGGAATTTTGCAGGATTTCTGAGGGGAATTTTTGTGATTTTGGGGAATTTGGGGGATTTTTTGAGGGATTTTGGCAATTTTTTGTGGGATTTGTGGGAAAATTGGGGACTTTGGGAAAATTTGGGGAATTTTGGGGAAAATTGGGAATTTTGCAGGGATTTTTGGGGGATTTTGGGGGAAATTATGGGGGAGATTCAGGAATTTTGCGGGGATTTCTGAGGGGAATTTTGTCATTTGGGGAATTTGTGTGGATTTTGGGGAAATTTGGGATTTTGGGGAAATCCGGGAATTTCGGGACGTTTAGGAGGATTTGGGGGAAAATTTGGGGGATTTTGGGGGGAAATTGCGAAATTTGGGGGAAATTTGGGGGAAATTGAGGAATTTTGCAGGGATTTCTGAGGGGAATTTCTGTGATTTTGGGGAATTTGGGGGAATTTTTGAGGGATTTTGGGGGAATTTTTGTGAGGATTTGGGAAAATTTGGGAATTTTGTGGAAAATTTGGGGGATTTGGGGAAAAATGGGAAATTTTGCAGGGATTTTTGAGGAAATTTTGAGGGGAAATTGAGGAATTTTGCAGGGATTTATAAGGGAAATTTTTGTGATTTGGGGGAATTTTTGAGGGGATTTTGGGGGGTAAAATTTGGGAATTTTGGGGAAAATTTGGGAGGATTTTGAGAAAATTTGGGGACTTTGGGGAAATTTGGGGAAAATTGGGATTGGGGGGGTTTGGGGGGGAAATTGCAAATTTTGGGGAAATTTGGGGGAAATTCAGCAATTTTGCGGGAATTTCTGAGGGGAATTTTTGTGGGATTGGTGGAAAAATTTGGGGACTTTGGGAAAAATTTGGGGGAATTTTGGGAAAATGGGAAATTTTGCAGGGATTTTGGAAGGAAATTTGGGGATTTTGGGGGAATTTTTGAGGGGTTTTTGGGGGGGAAATGTTGAAAATTTTTGGAATTTTGGAATTTTTGGAAATTTTGACACGAACATTTCCAGGAATTTCAGGATCTTTAGGGCGGATTTTTGCTGGGAATTTCCATCATTTTCCACCCAGATTTTTCGCGTTTTTCGCCGGAATTTTCCCATTTTTTCCCCAAAAAATTCCCAAATTTTTTTGGGGTAAATTCCCCAATTTTTTCCTCTTTCCCAGGTGAATTCCCTGGGAATATTTGGAATATTTGGGGCTAAATTTTTGGCTTTTTGGCAAATTCCTTTTGGGCTTTTTTTGAGGCTTTTCAGGGCTGGAATTTTTTGGGAATTTCCAGGATTTTTGGGGGGGGAATTTTGGAATTTTGGAATTCTTGGAAATTTTCACTTTTCCCACCAACATTTCCAGGATCTTTAGGGCGGATTTTTGCCGATAATTTCCATCGTTTTTCGCCGGATTTTTCGCGTTTTTCGCCCGAATTTTCGCGTTTTCCGCCCGAATTTTCGCCGTTTTTCGCCCGAAAAATCCCAAATTTTTTTGGTAAATTCCCGAATTTTTTCCCAGGTGAATTCCCTGGACGACAGCGGGGTCCTGGTGGGGAACTGGACCGGGGATTATTCGCAGGGCACGAACCCCTCGGCCTGGCCGGCTCCGTGGGGATCCTCAGGAGCTTCCACGGCTCCGGAGCCCCCGTGCGCTACGGGCAGTGCTGGTGTTCGCCGGCGTGGTCACCACTGGTTCGTACTGGGTTATACTGGGAGGGACTGGGAGGGGGGGAAATGGGGAAAAATGGGGAAAAAATAGGGAAAAAATGGGGAAAAAATGGCGAAAATCGGGTGAAAAATGGCGAAAAATGAGCGGAAAAAAGGGGGAAATGTGGGGAGGAAAGGGTTAAAAATGGATATGGGGGTGACTGGTTTGTACTGGTTTATACTGGGAGGGACTGGGAGGGGAGAAAATGGGGAAAAAATGGGGAAAAACGGTGAAAAAACGGCGAAAATTGGGTGAAAAATGGCGAAAAGGTGGGCGCAAAATGAGCGAAATAAAGGGAGAAATGTGGGGAGGAAAGGGTTAAAAATGGGGGGAAAATATTGGGGGAAATGGGGAAAAAATGGGGGGAGAAAGGGTTAAAAATGGGGGAAATGGGGGTTTGGGGTTACTGGTTTATACTGGGAGGGACTGGGAGGGAGAAATGGGGGAAAATGGGGAAAAAGGTGAAAAAACGGCGAAAATCGGGTGAAAAATGGCGAAAATTGGGCGAAAAACGAGCGGAAAAAGGGGGAAATGTGGAGAGGAAAGGGTTAAAAATGGGGGAAATATTGGGGGAAATGGGGATTTGGGGTTACTGGTTTGGGACTGGTTTGTACTGGTTTGTACTGGGAGGGGGAAATGGGGAAAAATGGGGAAAAAATGGGGAAAATTGGTGTGAAAAATGAGCGGAAAATGAGCGAAATAAAGGGGGAAATGTGGGGAGGAAGGGGTTAAAAATGGGGGAATGGGGATTTGGGGTTACTGGGTTATACTGGTTTATACTGGGAGGGACTGGGAGGGGAGAAATGGGGGAAAATGGGGAAAAAATGGGGAAAAAAATGGCGAAAATCGGGCAAAAATTGAGCGAAATAGAGGGGGAAACGTGGGAGAAATGTGGGGAGGAAAGGGTTAAAAATGAGGGAAATATGGGGGAAATGGGGATTTGGGGTTACTGGGTTATACTGGGAGGGACTGGGAGGGAGAAATGGGGAAAAAATGGGGAAAAATGGCGAAAAAAACGGTGAAAATTGGGTGAAAATTGGGTGAAAAAATGGCGAAAAATGAGCGGAATAAAGGGGGAAATGTGGGGAGGAAAGGGTTAAAAATGGATTTGGGGTGACTGGTTTGTACTGGTTTATACTGGGAGGGACTGGGAGGAAAAAATGGGGGAAAAAGGGGAAAAAATGGGGAAAATCGGGCGAAAAATGAGCGGAAAAAAGGGGAAATGTGGGGAGGAAAGGGTTAAAAATGGGGGAAATATGGGGGGAAATGGGGATTTGGAACTGGTTTATACTGGTCTATACTGGGAGGGAAAAATGGGAAAAAATGGGGAAAAAAGGCGAAAAAACGGCGAAAATTGGGTGAAAAATGAGCGGAAAAAGGGGGAAATGTGGGGAGGAAAGGGTTAAAAATGGGGGAAAATGGGGATTTGGGGTTACTGGTTTAGGACTGGGTTATACTGGAGGGACTGGGAGGGGAAAATGGGGAAAAAATGGGGGAAAAAATGGGGGAAAAATGGGGAAAAAAATGGGGAAAATCGGGCGGAAAATGAGTGGAAAAAAAGGGGGAAATGTGGGGAGGAAAGGGTTAAAAATGGGGGGAAATATGGGGGAAATGGGGATTTGGGGTTACTGGTTTGTACTGGTTTATACTGGGAGGGGAGAAATGGGGAAAAAATGGGGAAAAAAACGGTGAAAATCAGGTGAAAAATGAACAGAAAAAAGGGGGAAATGTGGGGAGGAAATGTGGGGAGGAAAGGGTTAAAAAATGGGGGAAATGGGGATTTGGGGTACTGGGTTATACTGGTTTGTACTGGGAGGGACTGGGAGGGGAAAAATGGGGAAAAAATGGGGGAAAACGGTGAAAATCGGGTGAAAAATGGCGAAAATTGGGCGAAAAATGAGCGAAAAAAGGGGGAAATGTGGAGATGAAAGGGTTAAAATGGGGGGAAATGGGGATTTGGGGTTCACTGGTTTGGACTGGTTTATACTGGGAGGGACTGGGAGGGGGGAAATGGGGGAAAATGGGGAAAAAATGGGGAAAATCGGGCGAAAATTGGGTGAAAAATGGCGAAAAATGAGCGGAAAAAAGGGGAAATGTGGATATGAAAGGGTTAAAAATGGGGGAAATGGGATTTGGGGTTACTGGTTTGAACTGGTTTATACTGGGAGGGACTGGGAGGGGAGAAATGGGGGAAAAATGGGAAAAAAATGGGGAAAAAATGGGGAAAATCGGGCGAAAAACGAGCGGAAAAAAGGGGGAAATGTGGGGAGGAAAGGGTTAAAAATGGAGGAGTTTGGGGTTACTGGTCCATACTGGTCCATACTGGTCCATACTGGTTTATACTGGGAATTGGGACAAACTGGGAGGGATTTGGGGCCTTTAAAAATGGTGAAAAATGGCCCAAAAATTCGAATTTTTTCGGGATTTTTTCCGGGTTTTTTCCCCTTTTCTCACCCCATACCGGTCCATACTGGTTTATACTGGTTCATACTGGTTTATACTGGTTTATACTGGGATTGGGATGAACTGGGAGGGTTTTGGGGCAAATTCATGGCTCTAAAACGGCCCAAAAATTCGAATTTTTTCGGGATTTTTTGGGGGTTTTTTTCCCTTTTGTCACCCCATACGGCCCATACTGGTTTGTACTGGTTTATACTGGTTTATACTGGGAATTGGGACGAACTGGAGGGATTTGGGGCCTTTAAAATGGTGAAAAATTGCCCAAAAATTCGAATTTTTCGGGATTTTTTCGGGGTTTTTTGGGGGTTTCCTCCCCATACTGGCCCACACTGGTTTATACTGGTTTGTATGGTTTGTACTGGTTTATACTGGGAATTGGGACGAACTGGGAGGGATTTGGGGCCTTTAAAATGGTGAAAAACGGCCCAAAAAATTCGAATTTTTTCGGGATTTTTTGGGGTTTCCCCCCCCATACCGGCCCATACTGGTCATACTGGTTTATACTGGTTTATACTGGTCCATACTGGTTTATACTGGAATTGGACAAACTGGGAGGGATTTGGGGCCTTTAAAATGGGGGAAAATGGGCCCAAATTTTGGATTTTTGGGGATTTTTTTGGGATTTTTATGGGATTTTTTCCCCTTTTCTCACCCCATACTGGTCCATACTGGTTTATACTGGTTTGTACTGGTTATACTGTTTGTACTGGGAATCTGGGATGAACTGGGAGGGATTTGGGGGCCAATTCAGGGCTCTAAAACATCACAAAAATTCGAATTTTTTGGGGATTTTTTCGGAGTTTTTTCCCCATTTCTCACCCCATACTGGTCCATACTGGTCCATACTGGTTTATACTGGTTTGTACTGTTTATACTGGGAATTGGGCTGAACTGGGAGGGGTTTGGGGCCTTTAAAATGGTGAAAAATGGGCCCAAAAATTCGAATTTTTTCGGGATTTTTTCGGGATTTTTTGGGGTTTCCCCCCCCATACTGGTTTATACTGGTTTATACTGGTTTATACTGGTCTGTACTGGTAGTTCTGCGCTGCCTGGGCCTGCCCACCCGCACGGTGACCAATTACAACTCGGCCCACGACACCGACACCTCCCTGACCACCGACATCTACCTGGACGAGGCCATGAGGCCCCTGGAGCGCCTCAACACCGACTCCGTCTGGTACTGGTTATACTGGTTTATACTGGGTTATACTGGGAGGGACTGGGAGGGACTGGGAGGGGGAAATTTGGGGGAAATTTGGTGAAAATTGGGGAAAAATGAGCGAAAAATGGGGGAGAAATGGGGAAAAATGGGGGTTTGGGTTACTGGTTTGTACTGGTTTATACTGGGAGGGACTGGGGGTTACTGGTTTATACTGGGAGGGGAAAAACGGGGGAAAAACGGGGGAAAATGGGAAAGAAAGGGTTAAAAATGGGGGAAATTGGGGTTTTGGGGTTACTGGTTTGTACTGGTTTGGGACTGAGGGTTACTGGTTTGTACTGGTTTTATACTGGTTTCATACTGGTGTCTTACTGGTTTATACTGGGAGGGAACTGGGGGGAGATAATGGGGGAAAAATGGGGGAAAAACGAGCAAAAATGGGGAGAAAGGGGGAAAAATGGGGTTTGGGGTTACTGGGTTATACTGGTTTGTACTGGTTTATACTGGGAGGGACTGGGAGGGACTGGGAGGGGAAAATTTGGGGGAAATTTGGTGAAAATTGGGGGAAAAATGGGTTAAAAATGGGGGAAATTGGGGTTTTGGGGTTTACTGGTTTATACTGGTTTGTACTGGTGTCTTACTGGTTTATACTGGGGGTAGGACTGGAGGGACTGGGAGGGGTAAAAATGGTGTGAAAAAATGGTGAAAATTGGGGGAAAAATGAACAAAAAATGGGGGAAAATGGGGGGTTTTGGGGTACTGGTTTGTACTGGTTTTATACTGGGAGGGGACTGGGGGGTTACTGGTTTGTACTGGTGTCTTACTGGTTTATACTGGTTTATACTGGGAGGGACTGGGAGGGGAAAATTGGGGGAAAAACGGCGAAAATTGGGGGAAAAACGAGCAAAAAATGGGGGAGAAAGGGGGGAAAATGGGGGAAATTGGGGGTTTTGGGGTTACTGGGTTATACTGGTTTGTACTGGTGTCTTACTGGGTTATACTGGTTTATACTGGGTTATACTGGTTTATACTGGGAGGGGACTGGGAGGGACTGGGAGGGGAAAATTTGGGGGAAATTTGGTGAAAATTGGGGCAAAAACGAGCAAAAAATGGGGGAGAAAGGGGGAAAAATGGGGGAAATTGGGGTTTGGGGTTACTGGTTTATACTGGTTTGGGACTGGGGGGTTACTGGTTTGGACTGGTTTGTACTGGGGGGTTACTGGTTTATACTGGTGTCTTACTGGTGTCTTACTGGGTTATACTGGTTTATACTGGGAGGGACTGGGAGGGGGAAATTTGGGGGGAAATTGGTGAAAATTGGGGGAAAAAAACGGTTAAAAATGGGTTAAAAATGGGGTTAAAAATGGGGGAAATTGGGGTTTTGGGGGTTACTGGTTTATACTGGTTTATACTGGTTTGTACTGGTTATACTGGTTTATACTGGGAGGACTGGGAGGGACTGGGAGGGGAAAATTTGGGGGAAATTCGGTGAAAATTGGGGGAAAAACGAGCAAAAATGGGGGAGAAAGGGGGAAAAATGGGGGAATTGGGGTTTGGGGTTACTGGGTTATACTGGTTTGTACTGGAGGGGACTGGGGGTTTACTGGTTTATACTGGTGTCTTACTGGTTTATACTGGGAGGGACTGGGAGGGGGAAATTTGGGGGAAATTTGGTGAAAATTGGGGGAAAAATGGGTTAAAAATGGGGGGAAATGGGGATTTTGGGGTTACTGGTTTGTACTGGTTTATACTGTGTCTTACTGGGTTATACTGGGAGGGACTGGGAGGGACTGGGGGTTACTGGTTTGTACTGGTGTCTTACTGGTTTATACTGGGAGGACTGGGAGGGACTGGGAGGGAAAAATGGGGAAAAATTGGGAAAAAATGAACAAAAATTGGAGGAGAAAGGGTTAAAAATGGGGGTTTTGGGGTTACTGGTTTGTACTGGTTTGTACTGGTTTGGGACTGGGGGGTTACTGGTTTATACTGGAGGGGAACTGGGCCAACTGGGAGGGGTTTTGGGGGGATTTTGGGGCTCTTAAAGGTTTAAAAATTTGGTTTATACTGGTTTAGACTGGTTTGGACTGGTTTTACACTGGTTTATACTGGTTTATACTGGTCCATACTGGTCCATACTGGAATGGGATAAACTGGGAGGGGATTTGGGGCTGTAAAATGGGTGAAAATTGGGATTTTTTACTGGTTTATACTGGTTTTATACTGGTTTTTTCTACTTTTACTGGTTTATACTGGTTTGTACTGGGTTTATACTGGTTTATACTGGTTTATACTGGTCCATACTGGGAATTGGGATGAACTGGGAGGGATTTGGGGCCTTTAAAATGGTGAAAAACGGGCCCAAAAATTCGAATTTTTTCGGGATTTTTTCGGGGTTTTTTCCCATTTCCACCCCATACTGGTCCATACTGGTTTATACTGGTTTATACTGGTTTGTACTGGTTTGTACTGGTGCAGGAACTTCCACGTGTGGAACGACTGCTGGATGAAGAGGCCGGACCTGCCCAGGGCTACGACGGTTGGCAGGTGGTGGATGCCACGCCCCAGGAGACCAGCAGCGGTACTGGGTTATACTGGGTTATACTGGTTTATACTGGGTTATACTGGGTTATACTGGTTTATACTGGTTTATACTGGGTTATACTGGGTTATACTGGGTTATACTGGTTTATACTGGGTTATACTGGGTTATACTGGGTTATACTGGTTTGGACTGGTTTGGACTGGGTTATAATGGGAGGGACTGGGAGGGGACTGGGAGGGACTGGGGAGGGACTGGTTATACTGGGTTATACTGGTTTGGACTGGGTTATACTGGTTTATACTGGGTTATACTGGTTTGGACTGGGTTATAATGGTTTGGGCTGGGTTATACTGGGTTATACTGGGAGGGACTGGTTTGGACTGGTTTGGACTGGAGGGACTGGGAGGGACTGGGTTATACTGGGTTATACTGGGAGGGGACTGGGAGGGACTGGGTTATACTGGGTTATACTGGGAGGGACTGGAGGGACTGGGAGGGACTGGTTTGTACTGGTTTATACTGGTTTGGACTGGTTTATACTGGGTTATACTGGTTTGGACTGGTTTGGACTGGGTTATACTGGTTTGGGACTGGGTATACTGGTTTATACTGGGTTATACTGGGTTATACTGGTTTGGACTGGTTTGGACTGGGTTATACTGGTTTGGACTGGGTTATACTGGGTTTGGACTGGGTTATACTGGTTTGGACTGGTTATACTGGTTTATACTGGTTTGGACTGGGTTATACTGGTTTGGACTGGTTTGACTGGTTTGGACTGGGAGGGACTGGTTTATACTGGTTTATACTGGTTTATACTGGTTTGGACTGGGAGGGACTGGGAGGAGTTAAAGGGTAAAAAATGGAGGGAAATGGGGATTTTTATACTGGTTTATACTGGTTTATACTGGATGGGGTTGGGAGGGAACTGAGAGGGATTTGGGGTTACTGGTTTATACTGGGAGGGACTGGTTTTGGTTTTTTACTGGTTTTTACTGGTTAATACTGGTTTCTATCACTCACCTTTTACTGGTTTATACTGGTCCATACTGGTATTGGTTTTTACTGGTTCTTACTGGTTCTTACTGGTTCTTACTGGTTCTACTGGGTTTATACTGGTTTTCCCTATTTTTTCCCACCCATACTGGTCCATACTGGTTTATACTGGTTTGTACTGGTCCATACTGGTTTATACTGGTCCATACTGGGATTGGGATGAACTGGGAGGGATTTGGGGCCTTTAAAATGGTGAAAAAATTGGCCCAAAAATTCGAATTTTTCGGGATTTTTTCTGCATTTCCCCCCCATACTGGTCCATACTGGTTTATACTGGTTTATACTGGTTTATACTGGTTTATACTGGGATTGGGACAAACTGGGAGGGATTTGGGGCCTTAATAATGGTGAAAAATTGGCCCAAAAATTCAAATTTTTTTGGGATTTTTTCGGGATTTTTTCCCCTTTTCCCCCCCCATAACTGGTCCGTACTGGTTTTACTGGTTATACTGGTCCATACTGGTTTATACTGGTTTTTCCAGGCCTGTTCTGCTGCGGGCCGTGCTCGGTGACCGCGGTCAAGAACGGCGACGTCTTCCTCAAGTACGACACGCCCTTCGTCTTCGCCGAGGTGGGCGGGGCCTCATTATGCAAATGAGGCCGTCGCGGGGCTCGTTAGGGGCGGCTCTAAGGCGGGGCTAAAGGGGTGGCAGGGGTTGATTATGCAAATGAGGAGGGTGGGTATGGAAATGAGCGGGTGGGGAGTGAGGGGGGTTGGTGGGGAGAGGGGTGGGGTGTGGCGGGAATATGCAAATGAGGGGTTAATGAGCGGGGGTTATTATTATTAATAATAATAATCAGGTGCTAATCAATGGGAACTCGTTCATTATGCAAATGATGATATTTATGCAAATTAACATAATTAATTATGGAAATGATGCCTTTAATTATGGAAATGAGCAGGTGAGCAATGAAGGGGTCGCGGGATGGTGTGAGTATGGGTGGGCGTGGCCTGATTATGCAAATGAGGGCTTGGTTATGCTAATTAGAAAGCGTACTTATTGATGTAATGGGGGTAATAATTATGCAAATGATTGGGGGGTTTATGCAAATGAGCAGATGAGCAATTACTGTGCGGGTATATTGCAGTGATGGGTGTGGCATGATTATGCAAATTATGGCTTGATTATGCTAATTAGGAAGGATAGGTATTGATGTAAGTGGTGTAATATGCAAATGATTTGGGGTTTTATGCAAATGAGCTGATTAGCAATTACTGTGCTGGTATATTGTGGTGGTGGGCACGGACTCAATACGCAAATGAGAGCCTAATTAGGCTAATCAATATGCATAATATCAGTGCTATGGGGTAACAAATGATTAGCAATGAGAGGGTTAATTATGGAAATGAGCCCCTCAGCAATAACAATCTGCAGGCCCCTTAAACTGGTAGGCGTGGCCTGAATATGCAAATGAGGGGCTTGGTTATGCTAATTACGATGAGTGACTAATTTCGCGGATGATGTCACAATTAATTATGCAAATGAGATCGTTAATTAGCACCAGAACAATGACAGTGCAACAGTGACTTCGATTGGTTGGGTGTGTCCTAAATATGCAAATGAGGGCCTGATTATGCTAATTCACAAATGTAACTAATGGTGCGAAGGGGGTGATCATTAATTATGCAAATGAGATGGGTAATTATGGAAATGAGCAGGTGAACAATGATTGGTGAACTGGCAGCTTGCGGTGGTGGGCGTGCCATAAATATGCAAATTAGATGCAAAATCATGCAAATGAGACAATGGAAAGCAACAAAGTTTGGTGGCTTGTGGTGGGCGTGGCCTAATTATGCAAATGAGACCGGTGTGGGTTACTTGAGCTAATGAGCGGCATGCTTAACTAACACTAACGAGGTTATTAAATATGCAAATGAGCAGGTGAGCAGCGGCGTGGTCAGCAGTGGCTTCTGGTGGTGGGCGTGGCCTCTGTATGCAAATGAGACCGGCACAGGTTTGTTAAGCTAATGAGGGGCGGGGGTAACGGTGCTAATTAATGGAGTATTAATGCGGTCATTAATTATGCAAATGAGCTGGTTAATGGTGCCATGTTAGGGTGGCAAGGGCACTGCCTGAATATGCAAATCAGGGTTTAATGACACTAATTAGACATGTAATGAATCCTGCTGGTGAAAGGGGGATTGTTGCTACTAATGAGGTAATTAAATATGCTAATTAGGTGATTAATTATGCTAATGAGGTGTGCGGGCAGCTCCAGGCCGGGTCCTAATTATACAAACCAGGGCTTAATTATCTTAATTAGGAGGCCTCGTTAATTCCAATGATCAGGGGCATCATTAGTGCCACTGATGAGCTAATTATTTATGCAAATGAGCTCACAAATTATGCAAATGAGGCTGGTGAACAGTTACAAGTGCACTGGCGTACATAAACCTAATTACACCAACGTGGGGCTAATTACTCTAATTAGGAACCGTATTAATGCCATTGCTCAATGGACGATAAGCTATGGATAAGCTATGCAAATGAGCTCAATAATTATGCAAATGAGGCTGGCGAAGAGAAACGAGCTGAGAAGGAATCTTTGCGGGACGTCCCTTAATTATGCAATACTGGGGTTAATTATGTTAAATAGGAGCCACGCTTAACTCTGTTTCTGACTGGCTGATATTATATGCAAATTATCTGATAAACTATGCAATGAGGCTGGCGAATGGCAACAAGCTGCACCCGCATACATAAACCTAATTATGCAAAACTGGGGCTAATTACCTTAAATAGGAGCCATACTTTTTCTGACTGGCTGATATTATATGCAAATTAGCTGGTAAACTATGCAAATGAGGCTGGCGAATGGGCTACAGTGTACACAAACCTAATTACGCAAAACCTGGGCTAATTACCATTATAACAAAACCTAATTAACTATGTCACAGTGAGTGCTTATCAATGGCTCTAAGGTGCTCATTAATATGCAAATAACTCATTAATATGCAAATTAGAGGCGAACCGCGACAAGGCAGTGCTGGCGCCATCACCCCCACAGGGGGAGTTTCGCCAGCGCCCTAATTACCCAAACCGGGGGTTAATTGCTTTAATTATGAACCCTACTTAATCCTGGTGGCGCGGGCAGCAATTAGGCATGCAAATGAGGCTGCTAATTATGCAAATTGGCAGGTGAACAGCGACAAGGTGTACTGGCAGCGGGCAGGCGCACGGCGGCTTCGCCGTGGTGCACGTGGAGCAGGGCGCGATCGGCCGCAGGATCAGCACCCTGGGCGCCGGCTCGGCCGCCAGAGTGGACATCACTGACCCAGTACAAGCACCCCGAGGGTCAGTGGGGGGACGCTGGGTGACACTGGGTGACACTGGGTGACCAATGGGTGACCAATGAGCAAAAATGGGCAAAAAAATCCGGCTCAAAATGGCCCAAAAATGGCTCAAAATGACCCAAAAATGGCCCTGAGTGACCACTGCCCACTGAGCCAAAATGGCCCAAAAGTGACCCAAAATGGCCAAAAAACGGCCCCAAAATGGCCCAAAAATGACACTGAGTGACCACTGAGTGACACTGAGTGACCAATGGGTGACCAATGAGCAAAAATGGGCAAAAAAATCCGGTTAAAAATGGCCCAAAAATGACCCAAAATGGCCCAAAATGACCCAAAAATGGCCCTGAGTGACCACTGACTACGCAGCGAAAATGGCCAAAAAATGGCCAAAAAATGGCCCCAAAATGGCCCAAAAATGACGCTGAGTGACCAAGGAGTGACCACTGAGTGACCAATGACCCAAAAACAGCCAAAAAAAACGGTTATAAAATGGCCCAAAAATGACCCAAATTGGCCCAAAATGACCCAAAAATGGCCCTGAGTGACCACTGACCACTGAGCCAAAATGGCTCAAAAGTGACCCAAAATGGCCAAAAAAAGGCCCCAAAATGACGCTGAGTGACCACTGAGTGACCACTGAGTGACCACTGGGTGACCACTGACCAAAAATGGGCAAAAAATCTGGCTCAAAATGGCCCAAAAATGGCTCAAAATGGCCCAAAATGACCCAAAAAATGGCCCTGAGTGACCACTGAGTACTGAGACAAAATGGCTCAAAAATGACCCAAAATGGCCAAAAAAAGGCCCCAAAATGGCCCAGAAATGACGCTGAGTGACCACTGAGTGACCAAGGAGTGACCAAGGAGTGACCAATGACCAAAAATGGGCAAAAAAATCCGGCTCAAAATGGCCCAAAAATGACCGAAAATGGCCCAAAAATGACCGAAAAATGGCCCAAAAATGGCCCTGAGTGACCACTGAGCACTGACCCAAAATGGCTCAAATATGGTCCAAAATGGCCAAAAAACGGCCCCAAAATGGCCCAAAAATGACGCTGAGTGACCAATGAGTGACCACTGAGTGACCAATGGGTGACCACTGACCAAAAATGGTCAAAAAAACCGGCTCAAAATGGCCCAAAAATGACCGAAAATGACCCAAAAATGGCCCTGAGTGACCACTGCCCACTGAGCCAAATGGCCCAAAAGTGACCCAAAATGGCCAAAAAAAGGCCCCAAAATGGCCCAAAAATGACCCTGAGTGACCACTGAGTGACCACTGGGTGACCAATGGGTGACCACTGACCAAAATGGGCAAAAAAATCCGGCTCAAAATGGCCCAAAAATGACAGAAAATGGCCCAAAAATGGCCCAAAAATGGCCCTGAGTGACCACTGACTACGGAGCCAAAATGGCCAAAAAACGGCCAAAAAATGGCCCCAAAATGGCCCCAAAATGACGCTGAGTGACGAAGGAGTGACCACTGAGTGACCACTGAGTGACCAATGGGTGACCACTGACCAAAAATGGTCAAAAAAACCGGCTCAAAATGGCCCAAAAATGACCCAAAATGGCCCAAAATGACCCAAAAATGGCCCTGAGTGACCACTGATTACGGAGCCAAAATGGCCAAAAAAACGGTTAAAAATGGCCAAGAAATGGCCCAAAAATGGCCCCAAAATGGCCCAAAATGACCCTGAGTGACCACTGAGTGACCACTGACCAAAAATGGCCAAAAAATCCGGCTCAAAATGGCCCAAAAATGACCCAAAATGGCCCAAAAATGGCCCAAAAAGACCCTGAGTGACCACTGAGCACTGACCCCAAATGGTCAAAAACCCAGAAAAAAATGGCCAAAAAACGGCCAAAAAATGGCCCCAAAATGGCCCAGAAATGACCCTGAGTGACCAAGGAGTGACCACTGAGTGGCCAATGAGTGACCAATGACCAAAAATGGCCAAAAAATCTGGCTCAAAATGGCCCAAAAATGACCCAAAATGGCCCAAAATGACCCAAAAATGGCCCTGAGTGACCACTGACTACGGAGGCAAAATGGCCAAAAAAACGGTTAAAAATGGCCAAGAAATGGCCCAAAAATGGCCCCAAAATGACCCTGAGTGACCAGTGAGTGACCACTGAGGGACCACTGACCAAAAATGGCCAAAAAAATCCGGCTCAAAATGGCCCAAAAATGACCCAAAATGACTCAAAAATGGCCCTGAGTGACCACTGACCACTGAGCCAAAATGGCCAAAAAACGGCCCCAAAATGGCCCCAAAATGGCCCAAAATGACGCTGAGTGACCAAGGAGTGACCACTGAGTGACCACTGAGTGACCACTGACCAAAAATGGCCAAAAAAATCCGGCTCAAAATGGCCCAAAAATGACCCAAAATGACTCAAAAATGGCCCTGAGTGACCACTGACCACTGACCCAAAATGGCCAAAAAACGGCCCAAAAATGACCCAAAATGGCCCAAAAATGACCCTGAGTGACCACTGAGTGACCACTGAGTGACTATAGGGCGACAAATGAGTGACCACTGACCCCTGAGTGACCCAACCCTTGACCATTGACCCAACCAATGACCATTGACCCAACCAATGACCCAACTCTCAACCAATGACCAATGACCCCTTGACCAATGACCAATGACCCAACCCTTGACCCAACTCTCAACCAATGACCCCTTGACCCAACCAATGACCAAACCGATGACCAATGACCAATGACCTGACCAATGACACCTTGACCCAACCAATGACCCAACCCTTGACCCCTTGACCAATGACCAATGACCCAACCAACGATCCCTTGACCCAACCCTTGACCCGATGACCCAACCCTTGACCCCTTGACCAATGACCCAACCAACGATCCCTTGACCCAATCCTTGACCCCTTGACCCAACCAATGGCCAATGACCAAAGACCAATGACCCAACCCTTGACCCAACCCTCAACCAATGGCCCAACCCTTGACCCCTTGACCAATGACCAATGACCCAACCAACGATCCCTTGACCCAACCCTTGACCCAATGACCAAACCCTTGACCCCTTGACCAAGGACCAATGACCCAACCAACGATCCCTTGACCCAACCCTTGACCCCTTCACCCAACCCTTGACCCGATGACCAAACCAATGACCAATGACCCAACCCTTGACCCCTTGACCAATGACCAAAGACCATTGACCCAACCAATGGCAATGACCCAACCAATGACCCAACCAATGGCCAATGACCAAAGACCAATGACCCAACCCTTGACCCAATGACAAAACCGATGACCAATGAGCCAACCAATGGCCAATGGCCAAAGACCAATGACCCAACCCTTGACCCAACCCTCGACCCCTTGACCCCTTGACCAATGACCAATGACCCAACCAATGACCATTGACCCAAACCTTGACCCCTTGACCAATGACCCAACCCTTGACTTCTTGACCCAACCCTTGACCCAATGACCAAACCGATGACCAATGACCCAACCAATGACCCAACCCTTGACCCCTTGACCAATGACCCAACCAATGGCCCAACCCTTGACCCCTTGACCCAACCAATGACCAATGACCAAAGACCAATGACCAATGACCAATGACCCAACCCTTGACCAATGACCCAACCCTTGACCAATGACCCAACCCTCGACCCAACCCTCAACCAATGACCCCAACCAATGACCTTTGACCCCACCAATGACCAATGACCATTCCCGCCAGGCTCGGAGGAGGAGCGCCGTGCCGTCAACGCCGCCACCTCGCACGGCTCCCGCCCTCGCCAGCGCGGCCCCACCTCGGCCGGAGAGGTCACCCTGACCGTCGGCTCCGGCCCGGCCGTGGCCGGAGCCGAGCTGGACCTTCGGGCAGTGGTCAAGAACCAGGGGGCGGAGCCTCGGACGCTGCGGCTGCGCTTCTCCCTCTGCGCCGTGCGCTACACGGGCGTGGCCGGGGCCGCCTTCCGGCAGGAGCAGCACCGCCGGACGCTGCCGCCGGCGCAGGGTGAGCCGCTGGTTTATACTGGGAGGCACTGGGAGGGGAGAAATGGGGAAAAAACGGGGAAAAACGGTGAAAAAACGACCAAAAACGGGGAAAAAATGGGGAAGAAAGGGGTAAAAAATGGGGGGAAAAGGGATTTGGGGTTACTGGTTTGTACTGGTTTTTACTGGTTTCATACTGGTTTATACTGGGAGGACACTGGGAGGGACTGGGAGGGGGTTTGGTGGGAATTTGGGGGGTTTTGGGTCACCAAAAGGGGGAAAATCAGTGTTAAATTCATTATTTGATACTGGTTTGTACTGGTTTGTACTGGTTTAGAATGGGAGGGGACTGGTTTATACTGGTTTGTACTGGGAGGGGGTTTTGGGGCAGTTTGGGGCTGTTTTGGGTCAGGGAAAAGGGTGAAAAATGGGGGTTAAATTCTGTATTTGGTACTGGTTTGGTACTGAGGTGTCCCCAATGTCCCCTGGGGGTGTCCCCGATGTCCCTTTGAGTGTCCCCAGTGTCCTTTAGGGTGTCCCTGACCTCCCTGGCGGTGTCCCCAATGTCCCCAAACAGAGGACACGGTGACAATGACCATGAGCTCCACCAAATCCCAGCCCCACGTGTGTCACCAGTGTCCCCAATGTCCCCAATGTCCCCAATGTCCCCAAACAGAGGACACGGTGACAATGACCGTGAGCTCCACCAAATCCCAGCCCCACGTGGGTCCCCAATGTCCCCAATGTCCCCAAACAGAGGACACGGTGACAATGATGGTGACCTACACCAAATACCAGCCCCACGTGGGTCCCCAATGTCCCCAATGTCCCCAATGTCCCCAATGTCCCCAATGTCCCCAACAGAGGACACGGTGACAATGACCGTGAGCTCCACCAAATCCCAGCCCCACGTGGGTCACCAGTGTCCCCAATGTCCCCAATGTCCCCAATGTCCCCAAACAGAGGACACGGTGACAATGACCGTGAGTTACTCCGAGTACCAGCCCCACGTGGGTGACCAGGACGCGCTGAAGCTGACGGTGGCGGCGGCCGTGCAGGAGACGGGGCAGGTGCTGGCCAAGGAGCTGCTGGTGCGGCTGCACACGCCCGAGCTCACCCTGACGGTAACGAAAAAACCCCGGAAAATATTCGGGGCGACCCCAAAAATTTGGGGTTTGGGGAAGGTTTTGGGGTCTTTTTTGTTCAGGAGATGGGGAAGAGGATGAAGTCTCCATTGGTGTTAATGGGGTAGACCTGGTGTCCCAAATTCCCCATTGACTTTATTGGGGGTAGACCTGGTGTCCTCGATTCTCTATTGACTTCAATGGGGTAGACCTGGTGTCCCAAATTCCTATTGACTTTAATGGGAATAAAAAGTGGTGAAAAATGGGGGTTTTTTGGGTTAAAAAAACCCGGATTTTTTTGGGGTGAAAAATGGGGATTTTGGGTCTCCCACAGCTGCTGGGCCCGGCCGTGGTGGGCCAGGAGGTGCCTGTGCAGGTGGTTTTCCAGAACCCTCTACTGGAGCCTCTGAGCAGGGCCTTGTTCTCTAAATGTCCATTGCTTTCAATGGGGGTAGACCTGGTGTCCAAAACTCCCCATTGATTTCAATGGGGTAGACCTGGTGTCCAAAAATCCCCATTGACTTCAATGGGGTAGACCTGGTGTCCAAAAATCCCCATTGACTTTAATGGGGTAGACCTGGCGTCCGAAAATCCCCATTGACTTTAATGGGGGTAGACCTGGTGTCCAAAAATCCCCATTGACTTTAATGGGGTAGACCTGGTGTCCAAAAATCCCCATTGACTCTAATGGGGTAGACCTGGTGTCCAAAAATCCCCATTGACTTTAATGGGGTAGACCTGGTGTCTGAAATTCCCCATTGACTTTAATGGGGTAGACCTGGTGTCCAAAATCCCCATTGAGTTTAATGGGGTAGACCTGGTGTCCAAAATCCCCATTGACTTCAATGGGGGTAGACCTGATGTCCAAAATTCCCCATTGACTTTAATGGGGTAGACCTGTTGTCCCAAATTCCCCATTGACTTTAATGGGGTAGACCTGGTGTCTGTCACTCCCTATTGACTTTAATGGGGTTAAAAAATGGTGAAAAAGGAGGATTTTTGGTAAAAATAAGGGATTGTTTTGGGGTGAAAAATGGGGTTTTTGGACATCCTGCAGCTGCTGGGCCCGGCCGTGGTGGGCCAGGAGGTGGTGGTGTAGGTGGTTTTCCAGAACCCTCTACCGGAGCCTCTGAGCAGGGCCTTGTTCTCTAAATGTCCATTGCTTTCAATGGGGGTAGACCTGGTGTCCAAAATTCCCCATTGATTACAATGGGGTAGACCTGGTGTCTGAAATTTCCCATTGGCTTTAATGGGGTAGACCTGGTGTCCCAAATTCCTATTGACTTTAATCGGGGTAGACCTGGTGTCCCTGAATCCCCATTGACTTTAATGGGGTAGACCTGGTGTCCAAAATTCCCCATTGACTTTAATGGGGTAGACCTGGTGTCCTTAAATCCCCATTGACTTTAATGGGGTAGACCTGGTGTCCCAAATTCCCCATTGACTTTAATGGGGATAAAAAGTGGTGAAAAATGGGGGTTTTTTGGGTTAAAAAAACCCAGATTTTTTTGGGGTGAAAAATGGGGATTTTGGGTCTCCCCCAGCTGCTGGGCCCGGCCGTGGTGGGCCAGGAGGTGCCTGTGCAGGTGGTTTTCCAGAACACTCTACTGGAGCCTCTGAGCAGGGCCTTGTTCTCTAAATGTCCATTGCTTTCAATGGGGGTAGACCTGGTGTCCAAAATTCCCCATTGATTACAATGGGGTAGACCTGGTGTCTAAAAATTCCCCATTGACTTTAATGGGGTAGACCTGGTGTCCAAAAATCCCCATTGACTTCAATGGGGTAGACCTGGTGTCCAAAATTCCCCATTGCTTTCAATGGGGTAGACCTGGTGTCCCAAAATCCCCATTGACTTCAATGGGGGTAGACCTGATGTCCCAAATTCCCCATTGACTTTAATGGAGATAAAAAGTGGTGAAAAATGGGGGTTTTTTGGGTTAAAAAACCAGGGATTTTTTTTGGGGTGAAAAATGGGGATTTTGGGTCTCCCACAGCTGCTGGGCCTGGCCGTGGTGGGCCAGGAGGTGCGTGTGCAGGTGGTTTTCCAGAACCCTCTACCGGAGCCTCTGAGCAGGGCCTTGTTCTCTAAATGTCCATTGCTTTCAATGGGGGTAGACCTGGTGTCCAAAATTCCCCATTGACTTCAATGGGGGTAGACCTGATGTCCAAAATTCCCCATTGACTTTAATGGGGTAGACCTGGTGTCCAAAATTCCCCATTGACTTTAATGGGGTAGACCTGGTGTCCAAAATCCCCATTGACTTTAATGGGGGTAGACCTGGTGTCCAAAAATCCTCATTGACTCTAATGGGGTAGACCTGGTGTCCAAAAATCCCCATTGACTTTAATGGGGTAGACCTGGTGTCCCAAATTCTCCATTGACTTTAATGGGGGTAGACCTGGTGTCCGTCACTCCCCATTGACTTTAATGGGGTAGACCTGGTGTCTGTCACTCCCTATTGACTTTAATGGGGTTAAAAAATGGTGAAAAAGGGGGATTTTTGGGTAAAAATAAGGGATTTTTTGGGGTTAAAAATGGGGATTTTGGGTCTCCCCCAGCTGCTGGGCCCGGCCGTGGTGGGCCAGGAGGTGCCTGTGCAGGTGGTTTTCCAGAACCCTCTACTGGAGCCTCTGAGCAGGGCCTTGTTCTCTAAATGTCCATTGCTTTCAATGGGGGTAGACCTGGTGTCCAAAATTCCCCATTGATTACAATGGGGTAGACCTGGTGTCCAAAAATCCCCATTGACTTTAATGGGGTATACCTGGTGTCCAAAATTCCCCATTGACTTTAATGGGGTAGACCTGTTGTCCCAAATTCCCCATTGACTTCAATGGGGGTAGACCTGATGTCCAAAAATCCCCATTGACTTTAATGGGGTAGACCTGGTGTCCCAAATTCCCCATTGACTTTAATGGGGGTAGACCTGGTGTCCAAAAATCCCCATTGACTTCAATGGGGTGGACCTGGTGTCCAAAATCCCCATTGACTTCTATGGGGTAGACCTGGTGTCCAAAATCCCCATTGACTTTAGCTGGGTAGACCTGGTGTCCAAAATCCCCATTGAGTTTAATGGGGTAGACCTGGTGTCCAAAATCCCCATTGACTTCAATGGGGGTAGACCTGGTGTCCAAAATCCCCATTGACTTTAATGGGGTAGACCTGGTGTCCCAAATTCCCCATTGACTTCAATAGGGGTAGACCTGATGTCCAGAAATCCCCATTGACTTTAATGGGGGTAGACCTGGTGTCCAAAATTCCCCATTGACTTTAATGGGGGTAGACCTGATGTCCGTCACTCCCCATTGACTTCAATGGGGGTAGACCTGATGTCCCAAATTCCCCATTGACTTTAATGGGGATAAAAAGTGGTGAAAAATGGGGGTTTTTTGGGTTAAAAAACCCGGGATTTTTTTGGGGTGAAAAATGGGGATTTTGGGTCTCCCCCAGCTGCTGGGCCCGGCCGTGGTGGGCCAGGAGGTGCCTGTGCAGGTGGTTTTCCAGAACCCTCTACCGGAGCCTCTGAGCAGGGCCTTGTTCTCTAAATGTCCATTGCTTTCAATGGGGTAGACCTGGTGTCCAAAATCCCCATTGACTTCAATGGGGTAGACCTGGTGTCCCAAATTCCCCATTGACTTTAATGGGGTAGACCTGATGTCCCAAATTCCCCATTGACTTCAATGGGGGTAGACCTGTTGTCTGAAATTCCCCATTGACTTTAATGGGAATAAAAAGTGTTGAAAAATGGGGATTTTTTGGGTTAAAAAAACCCGGATTTTTTTGGGGTGAACAATGGGGATTTTGGGTCTCCCCCAGCTGCTGGGCCCGGCCGTGGTGGGCCAGGAGGTGCCTGTGCAGGTGGTTTTCCAGAACCCTCTACCGGAGCCGCTGACCGGAGCCTCGCTGAGGATGGAGGGCGCCGGGATCTCCTGTCCCAAACCGGTGTCACTGGGGTGAGACTGGGATGGACTGGTTTATACTGGGAGGGGGGAAATGGGGGAAAATGGTGAAAAATGGGTGAAAAAAGGACGAAAATTGGGTAAAAAAAGGACAAAAAAAGGACAAAAAATGGGTAAAAATAGGGTTAAGAAAGGGTTACATTTGGAATTAAGGTTACTGGTTTGGACTGGGAGGGACTGGGAGGGGGAAATGGGGAGAAAATGGACAAAAAATGGGTAAAAAATTGGTGAAAAATGGACAAAATTGAGTAAGAAAGGGTTAAGAAAGGGCTAAATTTCGATTTGGGTTACTGGTTTATACTGGGAGGGACTGGGAGGAGGGAAATGGGGAGAAAAGGGTGAAAAATGGTTAAAAATGGGAAAAAAGGGGAAAATGGGTAAAAAAGGGTTAAGAAAGGGTTTTAAAAGGGGTTAAATTTGGAATTAGGGTTAATGGTTTGTACTGGTTTATACTGGGAGGGGAGAAATGGGGAAAAATTGTGAAAAAAGGACCAAAAATGGGTAAACATTCGTAAAAGATGGGTAAAAAATGGGTAAAAAAAAAGGGGTGAAAAAGGGTTAAGAAAGGGTTAAAAGGGGGTTTGGGGTTACTGGTTTATACTGGGAGGGACTGGGAGGGGAGAAATGGGGGAAAAGGACAAAAAATGGGTAAAAAATGGGTAAAAAAATGGATAAAAAATGGATAAAAATGGGTAAAAAATGGGTAAAAAATGGATAAAAAAAGGGTAAAAAATGGGTAAAAATGGATAAAAAATGGGTAAAAAATGGGTGAAAAATGGGTAAAAATGGGTAAAAAATGGGTAAAAATGGGTAAAAAATGGGTAAAAAAATGGGTAAAAAATGGGTAAAAAAATGGGTAAAAAATGGGTAAAAAATTGATAAAAATGGATAAAAAAGGGTAAAAAAATGGGTAAAAAATGGGTAAAAATGGGTAAAAAAATGGGTAAAAAATGGGTAAAAATGGGTAAAAATGGGTAAAAAATGGGTAAAAAATGGATAAAAAATGGGTAAAAATGGGTAAAAAATGGGTAAAAAAAGGGTAAAAATGGGTAAAAAATGGATAAAAATGGGTAAAAAATGGGTAAAAATGGATAAAAAATGGGTAAAAAATGGGTAAAAATGGGTAAAAAAGGGGTAAAAAAATGGGTAAAAAAAGGGTTCAAAGGGGGTTTGGGGTTACTGGTTTATACTGGGAGGAACTGAGTAGGGGGAAATGGGGGAAAAGGACAAAAAATGGGTAAAAATGGGGAAAAATGGGTAAAAAATGGGTAAAAAATGGGGAAAAATGGGTAAAAAAAAGGGTAAAAAAGGGTAAAAAAAGGGTAAAAAAATGGGTAAAAAATGGATAAAAAATGGGTAAAAAATGGGTAAAAAATGGGTAAAAATGGGTAAAAATGGGTAAAAAATGGGTAAAAAAAGGGTAAAAAAAGGGTAAAAAATGGGTAAAAAAAGGGTAAAAAATGGGTAAAAATGGATAAAAAAATGGGTAAAAAATGGATAAGAATGGGTAAAAAATGGGTAAAAAATGGGTAAAAAATGGGTAAAAAAATGGGTAAAAATGGGTAAAAAATGGGTAAAAAATGGGAAAAAATGGGTGAAAAATGGGTAAAAATGGATAAAAAAATGGGTAAAAATGGGTAAAAATGGATAAAAATGGGTAAAAAAATGGGTTAAAAATGGGTAAAAATGGGTAAAAAATGGGTAAAAAATGGGTAAAAAAATGGGTGAAAATGGGTAAAAATGGATAAAAAAATGGGTAAAAAATGGGTAAAAAAATGGGTAAAAATGGGTAAAAAAATGGGTAAAAAATGGGTAAAAATGTGTAAAAAAAGGGTAAAAAATGGGTAAAAAATGGATAAAAATGGGTAAAAAATGGTTAAAAAATGGGTAAAAAATTGATAAAAATGGGTAAAAAATGGGTAAAAAAAGGGTAAAAAAGGGTTAAAAGGGGATTTGGGGTTACTGGTTTATACTGGGAGGGACTGAGTAGGGGGAAATGGGCAAAAAGGACAAAAAATGGGTAAAAAATGGATAAAACATGGGTAAAAAATGGTTAAAAATGGGTAAAAAATGGGTAAAAATGGATAAAAAATGGGAAAAAAATGGGAAAAAAATGGGTAAAAATGGGTAAAAATGGGTAAAAAAAAGGGGTAAAAAATGGGTAAAAAATGGGTGTAAAAATGGGTAAAAAATGGGTAAAAAAATGGGTAAAAAATGGGTAAAAATGGGTAAAAAATGGGTAAAAAATGGGTAAAAAATGGGTAAAAATAGATAAAAATGGGTAAAAAATGGGAAAAAAAGGGTTAAAAGGGGGTTTGGGGTTACTGGTTTATACTGGTCCATATTGGTTTATACTGGGGGCATCCCTGGGATCAACTGGGACCGGTTTACCTCAAACTGGGAGCCTGTTTGATCCATACTGGTTCTTACTGGTTGATCCCGGTTCGTTCCCCGCGCAGGTCGGTGGGGGCGGGGCAGACGCTCCGGCTCAGCCAATCAGTGACGCCGCTTCGGGCCGGACAGCGCCGCCTGGCGGCCACGCTGGAAAGCGCAGCCCTGCCGCCCTTGACGGGCAGCGTCCAGTTCAACGTGGCTGCTGGGGATACTGGGGATACTGGGAGCACTGGGAACCTGACTGGGAATGCTGGGAGTGGCGGGAGGAGGAGGAGGAGGAGGAGGGGGAGGCCGGGAGGAAGCACGGGGGGGTGAAGGGGGTGAGGCTGGGAGCGCTGGGAAGGGGTTTGGGGTTACTGGTTTGTACTGGGAGCGTTGGGAGGGGTCACTGGTTCATACTGGTCCATACTGGGAGCACTGGGAGCGAATTTGGGCCATACTGGGAGCACTGGGGGTGGTCACTGGTTCATACTGGTCCATACTGGGAGCACTGGGAGCCATTTCGGACCATACTGGGAGCACTGGGAGGGGTCACTGGTTCATACTGGTCCATGCTGGTTCATACTGGGAGCGCTGGGAGGGGTTTTGGGGTTACTGGTTTATACTGGGAGCCATACTGGGAGCGCTTGGAGTGGTCACTGGTTCATACTGGTCCATACTGGGAGCACTGGGAGCGAATTTGGGCCATACTGGGAGCACTGGGAGGGGTCATTGATCCATACTGGTCCATACTGGGAGCACTGGGAGGGGTCATTGATCCATACTGGTCCATACTGGGAGCACTGGGAGGGGTCACTGGTCCATACTGGTCCATACTGGGAGCACTGGGATTCACTGGGAGGGGTCACTGGTCCATACTGGCCCGTACTGGTCCATACTGGGAGCCCCAGTCCCTCCCCACCTTCTCCCCATGGCGTCACCGCGCCGCGATGACGTCACTTTCCCGCCCTTTAATAAAGCGCAGTTCAAAAGCACAACGAGTGACGTCATTTAATGGGCGGGGCGTTCTCTGAGGGGACCCGCTGGGGATTGGAGGAAACGGCGGCCAATGGGGAGCGAGCGCGGGCGCGGCGCGGGGAGATGACGTCACACCGCGCGCGCCGCCGGTGTCGCCGCCGCCGCCATTACTGGAGGGAGCCGAGAGCGGCCGGGAGAGCGGCGGGGCCGGAACGGAAGTGACGTCAGCAAGAGAGCGCGCGGGAAAACGGCTGGGGATGGGCGGGAGTGACGTCAGGTGAGGGGGGGGCGGACTGGGAGGGACTGGGATTAAACTGGGAGGGACTGGGATTAAACTGGGAGGGACTGGGAGCAAACTGGGAGGGAACTGGGATGGACTGGGATGAGCTGAGAGGGAACTGGGAAGGAACTGGGGGATACTGGAAGGGACTGGAAGGGAACTGGGATGAACTGGGGGATACTGGGATGAACTGGGAGGGACTGGGAATGAACTGGGAGGGCTCTGGGGCCGTACTGGCCTGAACTGGGGCGGCAGTGGGATGAACTGGTCTGAACTGGGAGCTCACGGGGCCAAACTGGGATGAACTGGGAACTCACTGGGATGGACTGGGAAGGAACTGGGCCATACTGGGATGAACTGGGAGGAACTGGGACGAGCTCTGGCCATACTGGGATAAACTGGGATGGACTGGAAGGCGACTGGGCCATACTGGGCTGAACTGGGATGGACTGGAAGGGCCGTCCTGGTCCATACTGGTCCATACTGGTCCATACTGGTCCATACTGGTCTCTCACTGCCCCCTCTGTTCTCCCCCCCAGCCCCTCCCCCTCCCTGCGTTTGGCCCTGGCCGGGGCCTGGTGGGCTCTGAGGGGGCGTGGCCTGTCAGGGCGTGGTCCCGGTGGGCGTGGCCTGGATGGGCGTGGCTGGGGGCGGCTCCTGGCGCTGCTGGAGGCCGTGGGGGGCGGGGCCCCGGCGCTGCTGCGGCCCCGGCACCGGGCGGGGCTCACGCTGGGGCTCAAGGCTCAGGTAGGCCACGCCCACTTCTTGATAAGCCACGCCCACTCACCCACAGACCACGCCCACCCCGTACACTTTGCCCATTGTGGGTATAAATTACTTTAGGCCACACCCACTTCAGGCTAGGCCACGCCCTTCAAGCATAGGCCACGCCCACCTGTGAACCACTGCTAACTGTAGCCGAATATGTGCTTAAGCCACGCCCCTTTTGTCTAAGCCACGCCCACTGATGTATAGACCACGCCCTCCTATCAAAACCCCACCCACTCTCCTTTTAAGGGCCCCCTCTTGTCTCTAGGCCACGCCCACCCCTTTAAACCCCACCCCCTGCCCTTTTATGGGCATGGAACCCTCTAGGCCACGCCCCCAAGTCCCTCCCCCCCTTTGCTCCCTCCCCCCTCCCCCCCAGGTGGTGACGTCATTGCTGCGGGAGCTTGGCCCCTCCCCCGCCGTGCTGGACGCGCTGGATTGGCTCTTCCCGGAGGGGGCGGGGCCTGAGGACGGCCACGCCCTCGGGGTGAGAGTGGGAGGCAACTGGGAGGGAACTGGGAGGGGATTTGGGGTTACTGGTTTATACTGGGAGGGACTGGGATCAAACTGGGAGGGACTGGGATCAAACTGGGAGGGAACTTGGAGGGACTGGGATCAAACTGGGAGGGAACTGGGAGGGGATTCGGGGTTACTGGTTTATACTGGGATCAAACTGGGATGAACTGGGATCAAACTGGGAGGGAACTGGGCCATACTGGGAGGGCACTGGGATGAACTGGGAGGGCTCTGGAGCCAAACTGGGATGAACTGGGACCAAACTGGTTTGAACTGGGAGCTCTGAGCCCCCTCTACCCCCTCCCAAAGGGGCGTGGCCACTCCCAGCCCCACACCCATATATGGTTAAAAGGGGCGTGGTCTGACTCAGGCCCTGTCCCCCCTCAGACGCTGCAGGGCCGGCCCCTGGTGGGCGTGGCCGAGGAGCACTTCCGGGAGCAGGTGCTGGGAATTCTGGGAAGTGGGCGGGGCCTGGAGGCCTTCCTGCAGGTGAGACCAGTATAAACCAGTATGGGCCAGTATAAACCAGTATGGGCCAGTAATTCTACCCCTTAGCCCTCCCAGTTCATCCCAGTATGGACCAGTAACCCCAAATCCCCTCCCAGTACAAACCAGTATGGCCCAGTCACCTCCCAGTCCCTCCCAGTGCCCTCCAACCCCATCCCAGTATAAACCAGTAACCCCAAATCCCCTCCCAGTTCATCCCAGTAACCTCAAACCCCATCCCAGTATAAACCAGTGACCTCAAATTCCCTCCCAGTACAAACCAGTAACCCCGAATCCCCTCCCAGTTCCCTCCCAGTAACCTCAAACCCCATCCCAGTATAAACCAGTAACCCCAAATCCCCTCCCAGTCCCTCCCAGTTCAATCCCAGTATAGCCCAGTGATCTCCCAGTCCCTCCCAGTATAAACCAGTAGGGCCCAGTTCCATCCCAGTAAGCCCAAATCCTCTCCCAGTTCCCTCCCATTCCCTCCCAGTTCACTCCCAGTCCCTCCCAGTACAAACCAGTATGGCCCAGTCACCTCCCAGTCCCTCCCAGTACCCTCAAACCCCATCCCAGTATAAACCAGTAACCCCAAATCCCCTCCCAGTCCCTCCCAGTTCCCTCCCAGTTCATCCCAGTCCAAACCAGTGACCCCAAACCCCGTCCCAGTCCAAACCAGTCCATCCCAGTTTCCCCATTAGGAGTACGGTGCGCGGTTCCGCCGTTCCCTCGGGAACCTTTTCCTGGAATTTTTGTTCCGCCTGGAGAGCGCCCTGCCCCCCCCCGACCTGCCTCAGGTGAGAAAAGGGGCGGGGCTTAATGGGAAACCACGCCCCTTTTGCCTTATATGGGAATGGGTGAGGGAAATGAATGGGGATGGGGGAAAATGAATGGGAATGGCCCAAATTAACAGAAATTGCAGAAAATTCGTGCACAATTAGGAAGAATCAATAAAAAACAAGGGAAAATGATGCAAAATTTACCAAAATTATTGAAAATTCAATTAGTGAAAATTAAATTATTTTAATTCTTTTTATATTATTCAATTATTTCAATATTATTGAATTATTATTGAATTATTTTTTTCAATATTATTTAAATATTTTAATATTATTTTAATATCATTCAATTATTATTGAATTTTTTCTTTCAATATTATTTAAATATTTTGATACTATTTTAATATCATTCAATTATTATTTAAGTATTTCTTTCAATATTATTTAATTATTTTAATATTATTTTATTCTCATTCAATTATTATTTAAGTATTTCTTTCAAAATTATTTATTTTAATATTATGTAATTATTTTTATATTATTCAATTATTTTATTATTACTCCATTATTATTGAATTATTTCTTTCAATATTATTTATTATTTTAATATTTTTTAATATTATTCAGTTATTATTTAGGTATTTATTACAAAATTATTTAATTATTTTAATATTTTTAAAAAATTATTCCATTATTATTTAAGTATTTATTTCAAAATTATTTAATTATTTTAATATTATTTAATTATTTTCATATAATTTAATCATTTTAATATTATTCAATTAGCAAAAATTCAACCAAAATTCAGCTAAAGCTCACCTAAAATCAATAAAAATAACCAAAATTATTTGGTTAAATTATTTGAAATTATATTAAGACACAAAATTCTCCCAAAATAAATGAAAATCATCCACAATTCATCCAAAATGGTCAAAAATCAACCAAAATTCACTGGAAAATTAATGAAAATTACACAAAATTTTACCAAAATCACCCAAAATCAACAAAAATAAGCCAAAATTAACAGAAGTTGCAGAAAATTCACCCAAAATTAAGAAAAATCACCTGAAATTAAGAAAATTGACAAAATATCCCCAAAAATTAGGAAAAATGTAACAAAATTCAACAAATATTTGATCAAAATCGAACAAATTCCAAAAAATTCTCCCCAAAATAATGAAAAGAATCCAAAATTCACCAAAATTGCCCCAAATTCTCACAATTCCCCCAAAATTGACCCAAACCCTCTCATCCTCCCCAGCCCCGCCCTCTTTTCTTAAGCCCCGCCTCTCTTCCCTTATATGGCACAGCTGGACCAGCTCTGTAGAAGCCACGCCCCTCCGGGCTGTAAGACACGCCCCCTCCCTCGCTTGCAGCGGTATTTTGCCGAGGTTCGCCACGCCCACCCAGGTAGGCGGGGCTTAAAGGGGGTGGGATGGGCAAAATGCAAATTAGATCATTAACTTGCCATAAACTCCGCCCACAGCACCTTTGCTGCACCCACTTCCGCCTAAGAAAACCACGCCCATGTAAGTAGCCACGCCCACAAGTCCCACCTCTGAATTTTTTGCTAATTAGGCTCCTAATTAATGTTTATAAATTCATTAATTCAGGAGAAAGCCCCGCCCACGTCGCCGTAGGCTCCGCCCCCTTCGCTTCTCCCCCTACCGTGAGTGGGGCAGACCATTATAATAAGGGGGAGGCTGAAGCAGCCAATGAGGTTTTTGGGGTGATTTTGGGAGGATTTTGGCAGTCGATCAGAGCGAGGAAAGTTAGGACGCCTGCCGTGACGTCACTGAGCGTTTCACCGGCAAAATTTGGGGTTAAAAGAGGCTTTTTTTGGGGTTTCCCCCCCCGGCGAATCAAAATGGAGCAGCCCGGTCAAGGCGGGCTGTAACGCCGTTGATTGACAGCGCATTTAACCAATGAAGCGCGTTCAGTGTCCAAAAGCAGTCCGAGAACTACAACTGCCGCCATTTTTACTGCTGGAAAGGGGCGGGCCGAGCGTTGTGATTGGCTGAAAAACCGGAAGCGCTTCGGCCGCCATTTTAGATTTTGGCACTGCGGGTATTGCGGGCGGGGCTTCGCTTCCGCTTCCGCTCGGCGGCTCCGAAGGCGCCGCAGCCGCCACGATGCTCATCAAAGTCAAGGTATTTTTGGGGTGAAATCCGCGGATTTCGGGCAAAGTTGAGCATTTCCCGCCTTTAGCGAGCGGGGAGGGGAGGCGCGGAGGGGATTTGGGGTGAAATTCGCGGATTTTGGGGCGGTTTTTGGCGGGAGGGGGAGCGTGAGGGGTGGGCGCGCGGTGCATTGTGGGAACATGGCGCCCCCTACAGACGCTGACGGGCAAGGAGATCGAGATCGACATCGAGCCCACGGACAAGGTGAGCTCCCAGTTTGGACCAGTATAAACCAGTATGGACCATTAGGGGTCGGTAAGGAGCGGGTTAAGGGTGGGGGGAAGCCCCGGGGGGCTGCCAGGTCGGTCCCAGTAAGGGGGAGGGGCGTTCTAGAATGGCCCACTAAGTTCCAGTTCATCCCAGTATGGCCCAGTCCCCTCCCAGTTCATCCCAGTATGGTCCAGTTCCTTCCTAGTGCCTCCCAGTTCATCCCAGTATGACCCAATGGCCTCCCAGTCCCTCCCAGTATGGCCCAGTTCTCTCCAAGTCCTTCCCAGTCTCTCCCAGTAATAACCAGTCCTGCCCAGTCGCCTCCCAGTCCATCCCAGTCTCTCCCAGTTCATTCCAATAACCACAAATCACTCCCAGTAACTCCTAATTTGGCCCAGTTCCCTCCCAGTTCCTCCCAGTGCCTCCTAGTAAGGTCCCACTGCCCCCCAGTTCATCCCAGTTCCCTCCCAGTTCCTCCCAGTATGACCCAAAGTGGTCCCAGTCCCTCCCAGTAACCCTCAGGAACCTCCCAGTCCCTCCCGGTTCCTTCCCAGTCCATCTCAGTAACCCCAAATCCTCTCCCAGTAACTCCCAGTATGACCCAGTCCTCTCTCAGTCCCTCCCATTTCAAACCAGTGACCCCCCCCCAGTATTAACCAGTATGGCCCAGTTCCCTCCCAGTGCCCCCAAACCCCATCCCTGTATAAAGCAGTAACCCCCAATCCCCTCCCAGTTCATCCCAGTCCTTCCCAGTCCCTCCCAGTATGGTTCAATCCCTTTCCCAGTCCCTCCCAGTATTCCCCAGGAAGGTCCCAGTTCATCCCAGTATGGTCCAGTCCCTCCCAGTTCCCTCCCAGTCCCTCCCAGTTCCCTCCCAGTCCCTCCCAATCCCTCCCCCTGCCATGACCCCTTTAACGCGGTCCCCACCCTCCATCGCCCTTTTAAAACCATAGACGAGTCCTCCAACTCTGCCAGCCCGCCCTTTAGCGGCGCCCACTTCCGGCGGCGCTCCGCCACACTTCCTCATCTCTATGACCCAAAATGGCGGCGCCCATATTTTTATACCTCCAAAACCTCCAGATTTGCCCAAAGTCGCCCAAAATCTCCCCAAATGTTCCCAGATGTGCTCGGGTGTGCCCCAGGTGTTCCCCAGATGTGCCCAGATGTGTTTTTTTTTTGTGGCGCAGGTGGAGCGGATCAAAGAGCGGGTGGAGGAGAAGGAGGGGATCCCCCCTCAGCAGCAGCGGCTGATCTACAGCGGCAAGCAGATGTAGGCGGGGCTTAAAGAGGGGCGTGGCCACGGCTGGGCAGGGCTTAAAGGGAGGGGCGTGGTCATAGGGAAATGGGGCGGGGTTTAATTTGGGAGACCTGCGGTAAAAATAAGGAAATTGTGGTTAAAATGGAGAAATTTGGGTTAAAATCGCAGCAATAAAGTTAAAATGGTGACTGGGGGTGCGGCTAGAAAGAGAGGGGCCTAAAGGGGGAAGAGCTTTAAGGGCTTAAAAATGGGAAAATTTGGGTTAAAATGAGGAAATTTGGTTAAAATGGTGGGTGAGGGCAGGGCTTAAGTGGGAGAGGCCTAAAGGGGTTAAAAATGAGGGAATTGAAATTAAAAACCGGAAATTTTGGGGTTTAATTGGGTGGGTGGAGCATTGGGGGCAGGACCTAAGTTGGTGTGATGTCACAGCAGGGCGTGTCTCAAAGGGGGTGTGGCCTAAGTGGGTGTGGTCTTTCTGACTCCTCCCCCAGGAACGATGAGAAGACGGCGGCCGACTACAAAATCCAGGGGGGCTCCGTCCTCCATCTTGTGCTGGCCCTTCGAGGGGGCGTGGCCAGGCTCTGAGGGGGCGTGGCACAGTTTAGATCACACCCCCTTTCCCTTTAAGCCATGCCCACTTGCATTTCCCCTATCCCTGAGGTCATTTCCTGTTCATGGATCCGTTATTATTTAATAAAGGTTCGCTGATGACGTCAGCAGCGTGTTTGTGACGTCAGAGGTGTGTCAGTGATGTCATTTCCTGTTTAAAATTTGCGGTGGTCCCCACTTTTAGACAACATTGCTCTTTTAAGGTGGCATTGCCCTTTTAAGGGTATTGCCACCTTAAGGTTTATGTAAGCCCCACCGATGGTATTGCCCTTTTAAGAGCCTTACAAAAATCCCCAATTTTGCCTAAAATTTCAAATTTTAGCCCCAAATTATCATCTCTTAACTTCAAACTCATAATTTCCACTCTAAAAGTCACAATTTGGGCTTTTTTGCTTCTCAAATTTTCATTTTTCACCTCAAAATCTGAGGTTTCACCCCCAAAATCCAATTTTGTGGCCCGGAAATAACCAAAATCACCACTTTTGGACCCAAAATCAACATTATGATTCCAAAGCAAACATTTCAGCCCACATTTAACCATTTCAGCTAATTCTTCACCCTTAATCCTCGTTTTTTCCTCAAAAAATTTATTTGAATCCCAAAATCCCAATTTTTCATACCTAACCTTTTTTCTTCCCCTTTTCTCCCCTTTTAACCCCCAAATTCCAATTTCTGACCCCAAATTCTCAATTTTTATCCGCAAACCGCCCAACTTTTGTCCAAAATTGTCACTTTTAAACCCCAAAATCGCCTTTTTCCACCATCGCCCCTTTAAGAACGGTCCCCAGCCCTTACCACCCCTTTAAAATCATAGAGAAGTCCTCCAGGACGGCTAGAGCGGAAGACTTCCGGCGGCGCTCCGCCCCCGCTTCCAGTTTACTCATTGTTTCAAAATGGCCGCCCCCTCCTTTTCCAAAATGGCGGCGCCCGCATTGGAGCAGATCCTGACGGATCTCCTGGAGCCCGACAGCACCGGGATCCGCCAGGTGCCTCGAATTTCTCCAGATTTCCGCAAATTTGGATGAATTTGTGGAATTTTTGGTGGTTTTTGTTGAATTTTGGGGTTTTTTTCCAGGCCACGGAGCGGCTGCGGGAGGCGCTGGAGGAGCCGGAGGGGCCCGAAGGCCTCGCGGAGCTGCTGAGGGGGGCGGGGAGGCCGCAGGTCTGAGGGGGGGAAATCGGCGGGAATTTGGGATTTTTGGGGGAAAATTTGGGGATTTTGGGGAAAAATTCGGGGGGTTTGGGGGGATTATGTGGAGAATTTGGGAATTTTCTGGTGAATTTGGGGTTTTTGGAGGAAAATTTGGGAGGAATTTTGGGGTTTTGGAGGATCTTGGGGGGAAATTTGGGGGGAATTTTGAGGGGAAACTTTTGAAGTTTTGGGCAAAAAATTCGGGGGAATTTGGGGAATATTGGGGGGATTTTTTGGATTCTGGATGGAATTTGGGGATTTTGGCAGAGAATTTTGGACAATTTGGAACATTTTTGGGGAAATTTGGGGATTTTTGTAGGGAATTCGGAGGTTTTGGGAAGGAATTTGGGGCTTTTTTAGGAAAAACTTGGGATTCTTAGGAAAGTTTTGGGGAAAATTTAGGGATGTGGGAGGAATCTTGAGACTGAGGGCGGGATTTGGGGGGAATTTTGGGATTTGGGAGAAAATCTGGGAGGAATTTTTGGGTTTTGGGGTGAATTTGGGGGATCTTGAGTGGATTTTGGGAGGAAATTTGGGGGATTTTCTGACAAATTTTGGGGATCCTGAGTGGATTTTGGGGGGAATTTGAGGCATTTTGGGGCTCCCAGGTGGATTTGCGGGTTCCCAGGTGAATCTGGTGGATTTTGGGGTGAATTTTGGGGTGAATTTGGGCCTTTATGGGGCTCCCAGATCCGACAGTTGGCGGCTGTTCTGCTCAGGAGGCGCCTCAGGAAACTCCCCCAGGAGTTGATTGACAGGTGGGTGGAGCCTGGACCCCATTGGGATCAACGGGAGGGGGCGTGGCTTGGGGAAAATGGGCGGGATTTAAGCTCTATTGAACTCAATAGCAGGGGGCGTGACTTAGTAGCTATTTGAGTTAATAGGATGGGCGTGGTTTAGGAAAAATGGGCGGAGTTTTAGCCCTATTGAACTCAATGGCAGGGGGCGTGGCTTAGGTGCAATTGGAGTTAATGCGAGGGGCGTGGCTTGGAGAAAGTAGGGCGGAGCTCCACCTCAATTATGATCAATGGAAGGGGCGTGGTTTAGGGAAAGAGGGTGGAGCTTCAGCCCCATTAAAATCAATGGTAGGGGGCGTGGCTTAGTGGCCATTAGCTTTAACAGAGGCGTGGCCTGTGCCCCATTAGAATCAATGTGGAGGCGTGGCTTCAGAAAAGGGGCGTGGCTTGGCCTCTATTTATTAGAGATGGTGATGCTGAATTCAAGGGGCTATTTAGGGAGTGGGCGGGGCTTAAAATGGGCGTGGCTTGACTAATAATGAGTGGGAGGGGCTTAATCAATAAATAAAAGGGAAGGGGCTTAAAATAAGCAAAGTTTGTCTTGTGGGGGCGTGGCTTGACCATAAATGGTGCTAAAGAGGTGGGGGTTGACCATATATGGTAATAAGGGGCGTGGCTAACTCTGACTCCGCCCCCTTCAGGCTTCCGCATGTCGTGGTCGAGGCCTTGGAGCAAGAGACGGAGTGAGTGGAAAATTCCAGAAAAATCCCCAAAATTTCCCCAAATTTTCCCAAAATTTGGGAAATTTTTTGCGGTTTTGGGATAGAAATGGGGAGGGGGGAGGAACTGGGGAAAAAAATTGGGGAAAAATGGAAAATTTGGGAAAAAAATTTTGATTTTGGGGGGAAAATGGGGATTTTTTACTTAAAAATGGGGTTTTTTTTTGGGGGGATTTTTGGGAATATTGGGAAAAATGGAGATTTTGGCCAGGAAAATGGGAATTTTTGGGAAAAAATTTGGAATTTTAATTGAAAATCGGAATTTTTGTGGTAAAAAGTGGGAATTTGGGGAGGAAAATTTGGAAATTTTAGGAAAAATGGAGATTTTGGGCAAAAATTTGGAATTTCTGGGGAAAAGGTGAAATTTGGTTAAAAATTTAGGATTTCTCAATGAAAATTCTGAATTTTGGGGAAAAAATTTAGAATTTATGAGAAATATGAGGTTTTGGACAAAAATTTGGATTTTTAGACAAAAAATGTGAATTTATGTTGTGGAAATTAAAATTTTAGACAAAAAATTTGGATTTTTGAATAAAAAACTGAAATTTGGGGTGAAAACTGTGGGATTGTTCAATGAAAATTGGGAATTTTGGGGGAAAATATAGAATTTTGGGAAAATGGGAGGTTTTGGCTTAAAATGTGTAATTTTGGGGGTAAAATGGGAATTTTTTGGGAAAAAACTGGAAATTTTGGGGAAAAAATAGAATTTTGAAATGGGAAAATGGGGATTATGGGGAGAAAATTTGGAATTTTGGGGGAAAGGAATTTTGGGTCAAAAAAGGGGAATTTTGGGAAAATAAAGGAATTTCGGTGGTGAAAATTGGAATTTTTGGGTGTAAATCAGAAATTCTGGATTAAAACCAAAAATTTGGGGGAAAAAAAGAATTTTTGGACAGAAAATGAAAAAATTAACCCCCAAAAAAGGGAATTTTTGACTAAAACAAAGGTGATTTTTGTGAAAAAAATCTGATTTTTTTTCTAAAAAAATTGAATATTTTTTATCCCAAATTTTGGGGATTTGGGGAATTTGGGAATTAATTTTATGGGGAATTTTTTGGGGGGGAATTTTAGGGTTCAAATCGGAGTTTTGGGACAAAAAGGGGAAATTTGGGGGAAAAATTTGGAATTTTTTGAATAAAAAAGGGGATTTTTTACTAAAAATTGGGAATCTCATCCAAAAGTTTGGAAATTTGGAGAATTTTGAGAAATAAAATTGGGAATTTTGGGTCAGAAAGGGGGAACATGGGGAAAATGGGCATTTTGTGGATGAAAATTGGGAATTTGGGGAAAAATGAGAAATTTGGGCAAAAAAGAATTTTTGGGCTGAAAATGAAAAATTTCTCCAAAAAAAATCTGAATTTTTCACTGAAAAAAGCCAATTTTGGGTGAAAAAAATGGGATTTTTTTGCTAAAAAAATGGATTTTTTTGGCTTAAAAATGGGATTTTTTGGCTTAAAAATGGGATTTTTTTAACCCAAATTTTAGGATTTTGGGGGAGTTTTGGGATTTTTTGGGAATTTTGGGGTTTTTCTGCCCAGTTCTTGCAGCAGAGGGGCCCTGGGGCAGCTCGGGGCGAGGCTGCTGCTCCTGGGGGGCCCCAAATTTTGGGAACCGCTGGAAAAATGGATCCAGGAGGCGGCGAGGGACCCCCAGAAAATGGAGGTGAGAAGCCTAAAAATTGGGGAATTTAGGAAAATATTCAAATTTTTTAAAAGCCCAAAGAAATGAGGGAAAAAAAAGGGAAAAAATCCTTTAAAAAATGGCAAAAATCCGAAAAAAAGCCCACAAAAATGGTAAAAAAATTCAAAAATTGCCTTAAAATTCCTTAAAAATTCTGAAAAAAATCCTCCCAAAATTTGGAATAAAATCTGGAAAATGCTGGTAAAATGTTCTCAAAAAAATCCCCAAAAATCCCTGAAAAAAATTCCCAAAAAATCCCATAAATTCCCAAAAATATTTCCCCAAAAATTTTCAATAAAATTGCCCAAAAAATTTCCCCAAAATAAAAAAAAAATCCCAAAAATTTCCTGCAAAATTCCTCAAAAAATCACAAAAAAATCCCTGAACATCCCAAGATTAAAAAATTTCCAAAAATATCTTAAAAATCCCCAAAAAATTTTGAAAAAAAATCACGAAATTGTCTCAAAAAAGTCCTAAAAATTCGCCCAAAAATCCCCCAAAAAATCTTCAAAAATTCACATTAAAATCCCCAAAATTATTCAAAAAATCTCCAAAATTCCCCCCAAAAAATCCCAAATAATCCCCCCCAAAAAGTCCCAAAAGAATCCTAAAAAATCCTTAAAAAACCCCAAAAATTCCATCAAAATTTCCCGAAAGTTTCCTCCAAATCCTCGCAAAAAATCCCCCAAAATTTAAAAATAGAATCTGTAAAATTTGCAAAAAAATGCCCCAAAATATCCTAAAATTTTGGGGAAAAAATTTTAAAAAATCCTTAAAAAAATCCCCCCAAAAAATGTAAAAAAATCTCCCAAAATCCTAAAAAAGCCTCAAAAAAATCTAGAAAATTTTGTTTAAAAATCAATTAAAAATCTAAAAAATCCCTCAAAATGTTCTCCAAAAATCCCTAAAAAATCTCAAAAATCAAAAAATAATCTGAAATTATTTTCACAAAAAATTCCAAAAAAATTCCTGAATAAAATCTTAATAATCTTAAAAAAACCCAAAAATTCCCCCCAAAAATTGCTAAAACATGCTTCTAAAAATCTTAAAAAATCCCCCAAAAATTCCCCCCAAAAATCCCAAAAAATCCTTAAAAAATTCCAAAAAATCAACAAAAAAATCATAGAAAACTCAGTAAAATTCTCAAAAAAATGCAAAAAATCCCCCAGAAATATTTTTTTAAAAATCCCCAAAAATACAGAAAAAATCATAAAAAATTTAAGAAAAGTTCTAAATAAAATAAAATTAAAAAAACCCCAAAAAATTAAAAAAAACCCTAAAAATTTTAAATTTTGTTGCAATTTTGTTTCTGTCCCTCAGGGAGCGCTGGGCGTTGTGGGCGTGGCCTTGGCCGTGGCTGGCCCCGCCCTCTCGAGGCCCCGCCCTCCTGGGGGGGAATTTCAACTTTGAGGGGAGGGGGGGAAACACCCCAGAAAAATCCCCCCAAAAAATAATAAAAAAAAATCCCTAAAAATGCAGAAAAAAATCATTAAAAATTCACCGAAAATTCTACAAAAAAATTAAAAAGAAACCCCCAAAAAATTGTGGAAAAAAACCCCTAAAAATTTTTAATTTTGTTGCAATTTTGTTTCGTTCCTTCAGGGAGCGCTGAGCGTTGTGGGCGTGGCCTTGGCCGTGGCTGGCCCCGCCCTCTCCCCTCAAGGCCCTGCCCTCGGGGAGGGGGGGAAACACCCCAGAAAAATCCCCCCAAAAAATAATAAAAAAAATCCCTAAAAATACAGAAAAAAATCATTAAAAATTCACCAAAATTCTAAAAAAATAATTCTGAAAAAACTCCAAAAAAATCTAAAGAAAACCCCAAAAATTTTTAATTTTGTTTCAATTTTGTTTGTGGCCTTCAGGGAGCGCTGGGCGTTGTGGGCGTGGCCTTGGCCGTGGCTGGCCCCGCCCTCTCCCCTCAAGGCCCTGCCCTCGGGGAGGGGGGGAAACACCGCAGAAAAATCCCCCCAAAAAGTGATTTAAAATCCCTAAAAATACAGAAAAAAATCATTAAAAATTCACCAAAAATTCTAAAACAATAATTCTGAAAAAAACCCCCAAAAATTTTAAAAAATCCCCAAAGTTTTTTTTTTTTTTCAATTTTTTTTCTGTCCTTCAGGGAGCGCTGAGCGTTGTGGGCGTGGCCTTGGCCGTGGCTGGCCCCGCCCTCTCCCCTCAAAGCTCTGCCCTCGGGGAGGGGGGGGAAACACCCCAGAAAAATCCCCCCAAAAAATAATAAAAAAACATCCCTAAAAATACAGAAAAAATTCATTAAAAATTCACCTTAAATTCTAAAAAAATAATTCTGAAAAAAACCCCAAAAAATTTTAAAAAATCCCCAAAGTTTTTTTTTTTTTTTTCAATTTTTTTTCTGTCCTTCAGGGAGCGCTGAGCGTTGTGGGCGTGGCCTTGGCCGTGGCTGGCCCCGCCCTCTCCCCTCGAGGCCCCGCCCTCCTGTCCCTGATCCGGGCGGGGCTCGGGGCCCTCAGAGACCCCGGAAGTGTCGGAGCCGCCCTGAGGGCCCTGAGGGAGCTCCTGCCTGTCCTGGGACACAAAAAAAAACCGTGAGAAATGGGGAATTTCGGGCATTTTGGGGCAAAATTGGGGATTTGGGGGAAAAATTGGGGATTTTGGGGCAAAATTCTGGATTTTTGAGAAAAAATTTGGTGGTTTTAGGGTGAAATTTGGGGGTTTGGGGGCGAAAATTGAGATTTTTCAGCCGAAATTTTGGATTTTCAGCCCAATATTTGGGGATGTTTGACCCCAAATTCAGGTTTTTTTACCCAAAATTCATGGGTTTTTTACCCTAAAATTGGATTTTCTGAGGAAAAATTTGGGGTTTTTAACCAAATTTTTCTGGTTTTGGGGCAAAATTCTGGATTTTTGAGGAAAAATTTGGCATTTTTAGGGTGAAATTTATGGGTTTGGGGGCAAAAATTGAAATTTTTGAGCTTAAATTTTGGATTTCTGGCCTTAAATTTCAGGGATTCTTGATTCAAAATTTGGATTTTCTGAGGAAAAATTTGGGATTTACCAAATTTTTCTTGTTTTGGGGCAAAATTCTGAATTTTTGGGTCAAAATTTTTTAATTTTTCAGCAAAATTCAAATTTTTGGAGTGAAAATTTTGTTTTTTTAGCTAAAATTCAGATTTTCTGATTCTAAGGTTGAGATTTTGGGGCGAAAATTGGAATTTTGGGGTAAAAATTTGAATTTTTTGGACCAAAACTTGGCATTTTTACTCAAATTTTGCTGGTTTTGGGGCAAAATTTAGGGATTTTGGGGGAAAATTTGGCTTTTCTGACCCAAAATTTGGATTTTTTCCCTCAGAATTTGCTTCGCTCTCTGGTGCCCGAGGTCCTGGCGGTGCTGGAGGAGCTGCTGAGCCTGGATGAGGTAAAAATGGGGAATTTTGGGCAAATTTGGGAATTTTGGGGGCTAAAATTGATAAATTTGGGGGAAATTTGGGCTAAAATGGAAAAAATTGGGGAAAATTTGGAATTTTGGGGGAAATTTGGGGCTAAAATGGGGGAAAATTGAGGTTAAAATGAGGATTTTTTTCTGAATTTTTGGGGAAAATTTAGGGAGAATTTGGGTGGGAAATTTGGGCTAAAATTGGAGAAAAAATTTGGAAATTTGGGGCTAAAATGGGGAAAATTTTAGGCTGAAATGAGGAATTTTTTCTGAAATTTTTGGGGAAATTTGGGCTAAAATTGGAGAAAAAATGTGGAAATTTGGGGCTAAAATGGGGGAAATTTGGGGCTAAAATGAGGAATTTTTTCTGAATCTTTTGGGAAATGTTGGGGAGAATTTGGGGGGAAATTTGGGCTAAAATTGGAGAAAAAAATTTGGAAAATTTGGACTAAAATGGGGGAAAATTGAGGCCAAAATGAGGAATTTTTTCTGAATTTTTTGGGAAATTTTGGAAAATTTAAAAGGAAATTTTGGGGAGAATTTGAGGGGAATTTGGGCTAAAATTGGAGAAGAAATTTGGGGCTAAAATAGGGGAAAATTTTAGGCTGAAATGAGGAATTTTTTCTGAAATTTTTGGGGAAATTTGGGCTAAAATTGGAGAAAAAATTCAGAAATTTGGGGCTAAAATGGGGGAAATTGAGGCTAAAATGAGGAATTTTTTCTGAAATTTTTGGGAAATTTTGGGGGGAAATTTGGGCTAAAATTGGAGAAAAAATTCAGAAATTTGGGGCTAAAATGGGGAAAATTGAGGTTAAAATGAGGAATTTTTTCTGGAATTTTGGGGAAATTTTGGGGGGAAATTTGGGCTAAAATGGGGAAAATTGAGGCTAAAATGAGGAATTTTTTTCTGAAATTTTTGGGAAATTTTGGGGGGAAATTTGGGCTAAAATTGGAGAAAAAAATGGGAAATTTGGGGCTAAAATGGGGAAAATTTTGGGGAAATTTAAGGGGGAATTTGGGGTAATTTGGGCAAAATTTGGGTCTAAAATGAATAATTTTTTTTAATTTTAGGGGAAATTTTGAGAGGAATTTGGGAAAAATTTGGGGTTGAAATGGGAAAAAATTGGGGGAAATTTTGGGGGAAATCTGGGAGAAATTTCAGACAAATTTGGGAAAATTTAAGGGGAAATTTGGGGCTAAAATGAGAAAATTTGGGGTAATTTTGGGGGAGAATTTGGGAAATTTTGGGGCTGAAATGGGAAAAATTAGAGGCAAATTTAGGGGAAATTTGGGCTAAAATTGGAGGAAAAATTTGGGGCTGAAATTGTAGAAAAATTGGGGGAATTTGGGGAAATCTGGGGCTGAAATTTGGGAGAATTTTGGAGGGATTTGGGACAGTTTTGGGACTAAAATGGGGAAATTTTGAGGAATTTTTGGAAACTTTAAGGGGAAAATTGGAGGGAAATTTTGGGGGGATTTGGGACAAAATTGGGGTTAAAATTGGGAAATTTTGGGATGAAATTTTGGGGGGAAAATAAAAAAATTTTGGATAAATTGGGGGGGAAATTGTGGAAATTTGGGGCTGAAATTTGGGGTTGCAATGGGGAAAAAATGGGGGAAATTTTTTTGAAATTTAGGAAAATTCAAGGGGAAACTTGGACCTCGAATTAGAAAATTTGGGGGAAAATTTTGGGGAAATTTGAGACAAATTTGGAACTAAAATGGGAAATTTTGGGGAAATTTAGGACTGAAATGGGGAAAAAAATGGGGGGAAATGTTTTTGGAACTTTGGGAAAATTTAATGGAATATTTGGGGTTAATATAAGAAAATTTGGGGAAATTTTGACCTGAATTTGGGACAAATTTAGGGAGGAAAATTTGGGTTTAAATGGGAAAAATTTGAGGTGGAATTGGGAATTTTGGGGCAAATCAGGAGTTGAAATTTGGGGAAATTCTGGAGGAATTTGGGGAAAACTTTGAAGGGGAAATCTGGGGGAATTTGGGAGAAGTGTGAGGGAAATTTGAGACTGAAATTGTAAAATTCAGGGGAAATTTGGGGCTAAAATGATGAATTTTGGGGGAAATTTTGGGCTGAATTTTGGGAATTTTCCTTCCAGGACCGTGGGGCCAATGCTCTGGAAGTCCTGGATGAATTCCTGGAAACCAATCCTGAATCCCTGATCCCACATCTGAGGCCCATGCTGGAGCTCTGCCTCCAGGTAAGCCCAAAAATGTCCCTTTTTTAGCTCAAAATTTGGGAGTTCTTATCCTAAAATTGAGATTTTTAACCCTAAAAGATTTCGGACATCAGGTCTACCCCATTGAATCCAATGGGGAATTTTGGACACCAGGTCTACCCCATTAAAGTCAATGGAGAAGTTTGGACACCAGGTCTACCCCCATTAAAGTCAATGGGGATTTAAGGACACCAGGTCTACCCCCATTAAAGTCAATGGAGAAGTTTGGACACCAGGTCTACCCCATTAAAGTCAATGGGGATTTCAGACACCAGGTCTACCCCCATTAAAGTCAATGGGAATTTAAGGACATCAGGTCTACCCCCATTAAAGTCAATGGGGATTCAGGGACACCAGGTCTACCCCATTAAAGTCAATGGGGATTTAAGGACACCAGGTCTACCCCATTAAAGTCAATGGGAAAATTTGGACACCAGGTCTACCCCATTGAATCCAATGGGGAAATTTGGACATCAGGTCTACCCCATTAAAGTCAATGGGGATTTATGGACACCAGATCTACCCCATTGATGTCAATGGGGATTTAAGGACATCAGGTCTACCCCATTAAAATCAATGGGGATTTTGGACACCAGGTCTACCCCCATTGAAACCAATGGGAATTTTGGACACCAGGTCTACCCCCATTAAAGTCAATGGGGATTTAAGGACATCAGGTCTACCCCCATTAAAGTCAATGGGGATTCAGGGACACCAGGTCTACCCCATTAAAGTCAATGGTAATTCAGGGACACCAGGTCTACCCCATTCATTCCAATGGGAATTCAAGGACACCAGGTCTACCCCATTGAAGTCAATGAGGAATTTGGGACACCAGGTCTACCCCCATTAAAGTCAATGGGGATTTGTGGACACCAGGTCTACCCCATTAAATCCAATAGGGATTTAGGGACACCAGGTCTACCCCATTAAAGTCAATGAGGAATTTTGGACACCAGGTCTACCCCCATTAAAGTCAATGGGGAAGTTTGGACACCAGGTCTACCCCATTAAATTCAATGGGGATTTAGGGACACCAGGTCTACCCCATTAAAGTCAATGGGAATTCAAGGACACCAGGTCTACCCCATTAAAGTCAATGGGGAAGTTTGGACACCAGGTCTACCCCATTAAAGTCAATGGGGAATTTGGGACACCAGGTCTACCCCATTGAAGGCAATGGGGATTCAGGGACACCAGGTCTACCCCATTAAAGTCAATGGGGAAGTTTGGACATCAGGTCTACCCCATTGAAGTCAATGGGGAAGTTTGGACACCAGGTCTACCCTATTAAAGTCAATGGGGATTTAACAACACCAGGTCTACCCCATTAAAGTCAATGGGGAATTTTGGACACCAGGTCTACCCCATTAAAGTCAATGGGAATTCAGGGACACCAGGTCTACCCCCATTAAAGTCAATGGGGATTTTTGGACACCAGGTCTACCCCCGTTAAAGTCAATGGGAATTAAAGGACACTAGCTTTACCCCATTGAAGTCAATGGGGATTTAATGACACCAGGTCTACCCCATTAAAGTCAATGGAGAAGTTTGGACACCAGGTCTACCCCCATTAAAGTCAATGGGGATTTAAGGACACCAGGTCTACCCCATTAAAGTCAATGGGGATTTAAGGACACCAGGTCTACCCCATTAAAGTCAATGGGAATTCAAGGACACCAGGTCTACCCCCATTAAAGTCAATGGAGAATTTTGGACACCAGGTCTACCCCATTAAAGTCAATGGGGAATTTTGGACATCAGGTCTACCCCATTAAAGTCAATGGAGAAGTTTGGACACCAGGTCTACCCCCATTAAAGTCAATGGGGATTTAAGGACACCAGGTCTACCCCATTAAAGTCAATGGGGATTTAAGGACACCAGGTCTACCCCATTAAAGTCAATGGGAATTCAAGGACACCAGGTCTACCCCCATTAAAGTCAATGGAGAATTTTGGACACCAGGTCTACCCCATTAAAGTCAATGGGGAATTTCAGACACCAGGTCTACCCCATTAAAGTCAATGGGGAATTTTGGACACCAGGTCTACCCCCATTAAAGTCAATGGGGATTTATAGACACCAGGTCTACCCCATTAAAGTCAATGGGGATTTATGGACACCAGGTCTACCCCATTAAAGTCAATGGAGAATTTCAGACACCAGGTCTACCCCCATTAAAGTCAATGGAGAATTTTGGACACCAGGTCTACCCCATTAAAGTCAATGGGGAATTTTGGACACCAGGTCTACCCCATTAAAGTCAATGGGGAATTTTGGACACCAGGTCTACCCCATTGAATCCAATGGGGAATTTTGGACAACAGGTCTACCCCATTGAAGTCAATGGGGAATTTGGGACACCAGGTCTACCCCATTAAAGTCAATGGGGAATTTGGGACACCAGGTCTACCCCATTAAAGTCAATGGAGAATTTTGGACACCAGGTCTACCCCATTAAAGTCAATGGGGATTTAAGGACATCAGGTCTACCCCATTAAAGTCAATGGGGAAATTTGGACACCAGGTCCACCCCATTGATGTCAATGGGCATTTAAGGACACCAGGTCTACCCCATTAAAGTCAATGGGAATTGAAAGACACCAGGTCTACCCCATTGAAGGCAATGGGGATTTTTGGACACCAGGTCTACCCCATTAAAGTCAATGGGAATTCAAGGACACCTGGTCTACCCCCATTTACTCCAATGGGGATTTATGGACACCAGGTCTACCCCATTCATTCCAATGGGGAATTTTGGACACCAGGTCTACCCCATTAAAGTCAATGGGAATTCAGGAACACCAGGTCTACCCCATTAAAGTCAATGGAGAATTTTGGACACCAGGTCTACCCCCATTAAAGTCAATGGGAATTCAGGGACACCAGGTCTACCCCATTAAAGTCAATGGGGATTTAAGGACCCCAGGTCTACCCCTATTAAAGTCAATAGGGATTTATAGACACAAGGTCTAGCCCCATTCATTCTAATGGGGAGTTTTGGACACCAGGTCTACCCCCATTAAAGTCAATGGGGATTTTTGGACACCAGGTCTACCCCATTAAAGTAAATGGGAATTTATAGACACCAGGTCTACCCCATTAAAGTCAATGGGGATTTACGGACACCAGGTCTACCCCATTGATGTCAATGGGGAAGTTTGGACAACAGGTCTACCCCATTAAAGTCAATGGGGAATTTTGGACACCAGGTCTACCCCATTAAAGTCAATGGAAATTCAAGGACATCAGGTCTACCCCATTAAACCCAATGGGGATTTTTGGGGCCATTCCCCAAATTTTCAGGAAATTCCTGGAATTTTTGGAGAATTCCAATTTCTGGGGGCAATTCCCAGATTTTGGGAATCCCTGCCCCTTCCCCTGGAGGATTTTTGGGAATGTTCAGGTGGGATTTGTCCCCCTCAGGTGGCCAAGGACGAATGCAGGGGTGACACCGTGAGGGTTCGGGCCTTGGCCACGCTGACGTTCCTGGCCCAGAAGAGACCCAGGGTGAGACTGGTTTGTACTGGTTTATACTGGGAGGGGTCTGGGAGCGAACTGGGATGGACTGGGAGGGGATTTGAGTTGATTTTGGGGCTGTAAAAGGCTCAAAAACGGGAAAAATGGAGAAAAATTATTGATTTTGATACTGGTTTCATACTAGGAAGGGACTGGTTTATACTGGTTTGTACTGGTTTATACTGGGAGGGGACTGGGAATGAACTAGGAGGGAACTGGGACAAACTGGGATGGACTGGGAGGGGATTTGGGGGATTCTGGGGCGCTAAAAGGGTCAAAAATAAGAGAAAAATTGGCATTAAAGGGGATTTTTTATACTGGTTTATATTGGGAGGGGACTGGGACAAACTGGGAGGGACTGGGAGCAAACTGGGATAAACTGGGAGGGAACTGGAAGGGACTGGGATCAAACTGGGAGGGACTGGGATGAACTGGGAGGGACTGGGATAAACTGGGAGGGGATTTGGGGGCATGAAAAGGCTCAAAAATGGGAAAACTGGAGAAAAATTGGTGCTTTTGATACTGGTTTGTACTGGTTTATACTGGGAGGGGACTGGGACAAACTGGGAGGGGATTTTGGGGGATTTTGAGGGGATTTGGGGGCTCTAAAAGGGGGAAAAATGGGGGAAAATGGAGAAAAATGGTGGTTTTGAGACTGGTTTATACTGGTTTATACTGGTTTATACTGGTTTATACTGGGATGGGGTGCTGTGATAGGGCTGGGGTCACTGGTTTATACTGGTTTGTACTGGTTTTTACTGGTTTGTACTGGTTTTTACTGGTTTATACTGGTTTGTTCTGGTTACAGGCCCTGCTCAGGGCGCTCCTGGTGCCTCTTTGTGCCCCAGTTTTTTTCCTGATTTTTCCTGCTTTATACTGGTTTATACTGGTTTATACTGGTTTGTACTGGGATGGGGTGCTGTGATAGGGCTGGGGTCACTGGTTTATACTGGTTTATACTGGTTTATACTGGTTTGTACTGGTTTGTTCTGGTTACAGGCCCTGCTCAGGGGCCTCCTGGTGCCTCTTTGTGCCTCAGTTTTTCCTGGTTTATACTGGTTTATACTGGTCCATACTGGTTTATACTGGGATGGGGTGCTGTGATAGGGCTGGGGTCACTGGTTTGTACTGGTTTGGACTGGTTTATACTGGTTTGTACTGGTTTGTACTGGTGTGTTCTGGTTACAGGCCCTGCTCAGGGCGCTCCTGGTGCCTCTTTGTGCCTCAGTTTTTTCCTGATTTTTCCTCATTTTTCCTCATTTTTCCTGCTTTATACTGGTTTATACTGGTCCATACTGGTTTATACTGGGATGGGGTGCTGCAATAGTGCTGGGGTCACTGGTTTGTACTGGTTTGTACTGGTTTGTACTGGTTTATACTGGTTTGTTCTGGTTTGTTCTGGTTACAGGCCCTGCTCAGGGGGCTCCTGGTGCCTCTTTGTGCCCCAGTTTTTTCCTGGTTTTTCCTGCTTTATACTGGTTTATACTGGTCCATACTGGTTTATACTGGGATGGGGTGCTGTGATAGGGCTGGGGTCACTGGTTTGTTCTGGTTTATACTGGTTTGTACTGGTTTGTTCTGGTTTGTTCTGGTTACAGGCCCTCCTCAGGGCGCTCCTGGTGCCTCTTTGTGCCTCAGTTTTTTCCTGGTTTTTCCTGATTTTTCCTGCTTTATACTGGTCCATACTGGTCCATACTGGTCTATACTGGTTTATACTGGGATGGGGTCACTTGTTTGTAGTGGTTTGTAGTGGTTTGTAGTGGTTTGTAGTGGTTTGTACTGGTTTGTACTGGTTTGTTCTGGTTACAGGCCCTGCTCAGGGCGCTCCTGGTGCCTCTTTGTGCCTCAGTTTTTTCCTGATTTTTCCTGATTTTTCCTGGTTTTTCCTCATTTTTCCTGCTTTATACTGGTCCATACTGGTCCATACTGGTTTATACTGGGATGGGGTCACTGGCTTGTACTGGTTTATACTGGTTTGTGCTGGTTTATACTGGTTTGTACTGGTTTGTACTGGTTTGTTCTGGTTGCAGGCCCTGCTCAGGGCGCTCCTGGTGCCTCTTTGTGCCTCAGTTTTTCCTGATTTTTCCTGATTTTTCCTGGTTTATACTGGTTTATACTGGTTTATACTGGGATGGGGTGCTGCAATAGTGCTGGGGTCACTGGTTTGGACTGGTTTGGACTGGTTTATACTGGTTTGTACTGGTTTGTACTGGTTTGTACTGGTTTGTTCTGGTTACAGGCCCTGCTCAGGGCGCTCCTGGTGCCTCTTTGTGCCTCAGTTTTTTCCTGATTTTTCCTGATTTTTCCTCATTTTTCCTGGTTTATACTGGTCCATACTGGTCCATACTGGTTTATACTGGGATGGGGTCACTGGTTTGTACTGGTTTGTACTGGTTTGTACTGGTTTGTTCTGGTTTGTACTGGTTTGTTCTGGTTACAGGCCCTCCTCAGGGCGCTCCTGGTGCCTCTTTGTGCCTCAGTTTTTTCTGGTTTTTCCTGTTTTTTTCCTCATTTTTCCTGCTTTATACTGGTCCATACTGGTCCATACTGGTCCATACTGGTTTATAGTGGGATGGGGTCACTGGTTTGTACTGGTTTGTACTGGTTTGTACTGGTTTATACTGGTTTGTTCTGGTTACAGGCCCTCCTCAGGGCGCTCCTGGTCCCTCTTTGTGCCTCAGTTTTTTCCTGATTTTTCCTGATTTTTCCTCATTTTTCCTGCTTTATACTGGTCCATACTGGTCCATACTGGTTTATACTGGGATGGGGTCACTGGTTTATACTGGTTTGTACTGGTTTGTACTGGTTTGTACTGGTTTATACTGGTTTGTTCTGGTTTGTTCTGGTTGCAGGCCCTGCTCAGGGCGCTCCTGGTGCCTCTTTGTGCCTCAGTTTTTCCTGATTTTTCCTGGTTTTTCCTGATTTTTCCTGCTTTATACTGGTCCATACTGGTCCATACTGGTCCATACTGGTTTATACTGGGATGGGATCACTGGTTTGTACTGGTTTGTACTGGTCTGGACTGGTTTGTACTGGTTTGTTCTGGTTACAGGCCCTGCTCAGGGCACTCCTGGTGCCTCTTTGTGCCCCAGTTTTTTCCTGATTTTTCCTGATTTTTCCTGATTTTTCCTGCTTTATACTGGTCCATACTGGTCCATACTGGTCCATACTGGTTTATACTGGGATGGGGTCACTGGTTTGTACTGGTTTGTAGTGGTCTGGACTGGTTTGTACTGGTTTGTTCTGGTTGCAGGCCTTGCTCAGGGGGCTCCTGGTTCCCCTTTGTGCCCCAGTTTTTCCTCATTTTTCCTGCTTTATACTGGTCCATACTGGTCCATACTGGTTTATACTGGGATGGGGTGCTGTGATAGTGCTGGGGTCACTGGTTTGTACTGGTTTGTACTGGTTTGGACTGGTTTTTACTGGTTTGTTCTGGTTTGTTGTGGTTACAGGCCCTGCTCAGGGGCCTCCTGGTGCCTCTTTGTGCCTCAGTTTTTCCTGGTTTTTCCTGGTTTTTCCTGCTTTATACTGGTTTATACTGGTCCATACTGGTTTATACTGGGATGGGGTCACTGGTTTGGACTGGTTTGTACTGGTTTATACTGGTTTATACTGGTTTGTACTGGTTTGTTCTGGTTACAGGCCCTGCTCAGGGGCCTCCTGGTGCCTCTTTGTGCCTCAGTTTTTTCCTCATTTTTCCTGCTTTATACTGGTTTATACTGGTTTATACTGGTCCATACTGGTCCATACTGGTCCATACTGGTTTATACTGCGATGGGGTCACTGGTTTGTACTGGTTTGTACTGGTTTGTACTGGTTTGTACTGGTTTGTACTGGTTTGTTCTGGTTACAGGCCCTGCTCAGGGGCCTCCTGGTGCCTCTTTGTGCCCCAGTTTTTTCCTGATTTTTCCTGGTTTTTCCTGGTTTATACTGGTTTATACTGGTTTATACTGGGATGGGGTCACTGGTTTGTACTGGTTTGTACTGGTTTGTACTGGTTTGTTCTGGTTACAGGCCCTGCTCAGGGCGCTCCTGGTTCCTCTTTGTGCCCCAGTTTTTTCCTGATTTTTCCTGATTTTTCCTGCTTTATACTGGTCCATACTGGTCCATACTGGTCTATACTGGTTTATACTGGGATGGGGTCACTGGTTTGTACTGGTTTTTACTGGTTTATACTGGTTTGTACTGGTTTGTACTGTTTACAGGCCCTCCTCACGGCGCTCCTGGTGCCTCTTTGTGCCTCAGTTTTTTCCTGCTTTTTCCTCATTTTTCCTCATTTTTCCTGCTTTATACTGGTCCATACTGGTTTATACTGGTTTATACTGGGATGGGGTGCTGTGATAGGGCTGGGGTCACTGATTTGTACTGGTTTATACTGGTTTGTACTGGTTTGTTGTGGTTACAGGCCCTGCTCAGGGGGCTCCTGCTGCCCTTTGTGTCCCAGTTTTTCCTGGTCTATACTGGTTTATACTGGTCCATACTGGTTTATACTGGGATGGGGTGCTGCAATAGTGCTGGGGTCACTGGTTTGGACTGGTTTGGACTGGTTTATACTGGTTTGTACTGGTTTGTACTGGTTTGTTCTGGTTACTGGCCCTGCTCAGGGCGCTCCTGGTGCCTCTTTGTGCCTCAGTTTTTTTCCTGATTTTTCCTGATTTTTCCTGCTTTATACTGCTTTATACTGGTCCATACTGGTTTATACTGGGATGGGGTCACTTGTTTGTAGTGGTTTGGACTGGTTTGTACTGGTTTGTACTGGTTTGTACTGGTTTGTACTGGTTTGTACTGGTTTGTTCTGGTTACAGGCCCTGCTCAGGGGCCTCCTGGTGCCTCTTTGTGCCTCAGTTTTTTCCTGATTTTTCCTGATTTTTCCTGATTTTCCTCATTTTTTCCTGCTTTATACTGGTTTATACTGGTCCATACTGGTTTATACTGGGATGGGATCACTGGTTTATACTGGTTTGTACTGGTTTATACTGGTTTGGACTGGTTTATACTGGTTTGTACTGGTTTGTTCTGGTTTGTTCTGGTTACAGGCCCTGCTCAGGGGGCTCCTGGTTCCCCTTTGTGCCTCAGTTTTTTCCTGATTTTTCCTGATTTTTCCTCATTTTTCCTGCTTTATACTGGTCCATACTGGTTTATACTGGGATGGGGTGCTGTGATAGGCCTGGGGTCACTGGTTTATACTGGTTTGGACTGGTTTGTAGTGGTTTATACTGGTTTATACTGGTTCATTCTGGTTACAGGCCCTGCTCAGGGCACTCCTGGTGCCTCTTTGTGCCTCAGTTTTTTTCCTGATTTTTCCTCATTTTTCCTCATTTTTCCTGCTTTATACTGGTCCATACTGGTTTATACTGGGATGGGGTGCTGCAGTAGGGCTGGGGTCACTGGTTTATACTGGTTTGTACTGGTTTGTACTGGTTTGTACTGGTTTGTTCTGGTTACAGGCCCTCCTCAGGGCGCTCCTGGTGCTCCTTTGTGCCTCAGTTTTTTCCTGATTTTTCCTCATTTTTCCTCATTTTTCCTGCTTTATACTGGTCCATACTGGTTTATACTGGTCCATACTGGTCCATACTGGTTTATACTGGTTTATACTGGTTTGTTCTGCTTGCAGGCCCTGCTCAGGGGGGGTCTCCTCCCATTTCTCCTCAGGGGGCTCCTGGTTCCCCTTTGTTCCCCATTGAGGCCCCAAAGCCCCGACCCTGAGGAGACCTGGCCGGGGGGGGAGGGGCAGCCCTGCCCCCGCCACGGAGCCGCTCAGGTAACCAAAAATTCCCAAAAAATTCCCAAAAAATTCCCAAAAATTCCCAAAATTCCCAAAAATTCCCCCAAAAATCCCCAAGTTCAGAGGCGTTTCCTGCGATTTTTGGGGGTTTTTTCCCATTAAATTTGGATTTTTTGGGGGTTTTTTCCAATTTTATTTGGATTTTTTGGGGTTTTTTTTTCCAATTTTATTTGGATTTTTTGGGGTTTTTTTCCAATTTTATTTGGATTTTTTGGGGTTTTTTTTCCATTTTTTTTTCTTATTTATTGGGGATTTTTCCCCATTTGTTCCAATTTTTATTTCTTCTATTTTTGGGGATTTTTCCCCATTTTTTATTTTTTCTATTTTTTGGGATTTTCCCCCATTTTTTCCAATTTTTATTTTTTCTATTTTTTTTGGGATTTTTCCCCATTTTTTCCCCATTCTTTTATAATTTATTGGGGATTTTTCCCCATTTTTTCCCCATTCTTTTCTAATTCATTGGGGATTTTTTCCCCCTTTTCCCCAATTTTTATTTTTCCTATTTTTGGGATTTTCCCCATTTTTTTTCCAATTTTTTCTTCTATTTTTGGGGGATTTTTCCCCATTTTTTCCAATTTTTATTTTCTATTTTGGGGATTTTTCCCAATTTTTTCCAAATTTTTATTTTTTTCTATTTTTTTCCATTTTTTTTTCTATTTTTTTATTTTTCCCCATTTTTTCCAAATTTTATTTCATATTTTTTGGGATTTTTCCCCATTTTTTTCAAATTTTTTCTTCTATTTTTTAGAAATTTTCCCCATTTTTCCCAATTTTTATTTTCCCTATTTTTTGTGATTTTCCCCCATTTTTTCCAATTTTTTTTTTCTATTTTATTTGGATTTTCCCCCATTTTTCCAATTTTTTTCTAATTTTTTTTGGGGATTTTATTCCCCATTTTTCCAATTTTTATTTTTCCTATTTATTGCGGATTTTTCCCCATTTTTTCCAATTTTTTAAATTTTTTTTTATTTTTCCCCATTTTCCCCAATTTTTATTTTTTTCTATTTTTTGTGACTTTTCCCCATTTTTTCCAATTTTTCTTCTATTTTTTAGAAATTTTCCCCATTTTTTTCCAATTTTTTTCCTATTTTTTGGGGATTTTTCCCCATTTTTTACAATTTTTATTTTTCCTATTTTTGGGATTTTTCCCCATTTTTTTCAATTTTTTAATTTTTTCTATTTTTTGGGATTTTTCCCCATTTTTTCCCAATTTTTTCTTCTATTTTTTGGGATTTTTCCCCCATTTTTTTAGAATTTTCATTTTTTCTATTTCTTTGGGTTTTTCCCCATCTTTTCCAATTTTTATTTTTTTCTATTTTTTGGGATTTTGGGATTTTCCTGAAATTCCCAAAGGTCTCAAAAAGTTCCCCCAAAATTCTCCAAAAATTGAAAACAAAAACCCAAAGAAATTCCCCAAAAATTTAAAAAAATCCTCAAAAAATCTCAAAAATTTCCCTAAAAATTCCCCCCTAAAATTCAAAAAAATCCAAAAAATTCCCAAAAATTCCCCCAAAAAATTCCCCCAAAATTCCAAAACAATTTCCAAAAAATCCCCAAAAAATTCAGAAAAATCACAAAAAATTCCCTAAAATTCCCCAAAAAATTCCCCCAAAAATTCTCCAAAAATCCTCAAAATTCTGGGGATTTTTCCCTTTTTTGGCTTTTCCTTATTTTATTTAGAATTTTCCCATTTTTATGGATTTCCCCCCCTTTTTTGGTGACTTTTGGACAATATTTTCTCTCTTTTCCCATTTTAGTCAGAATTTCCCCCATTTTTAGGATTTTTTTCTATTTAATTTTGAATTCTTTCTCATTTTTGAATTATTTTTCTTATTTTATTTGAAATTTTCCCATTTTATTAAAAATTTCTCCCATTTTTCCCAATTGTTAATTTTAATTTTTTTGCACAATTTAATTGCAATTTTCCCATTTTCTAGATTTTTTCCCTCATTATTTCAAATTTTTCTGTCACATTTCCCATTTTTTTGGCCATTTCCTCCTTTTTATACCAAAATTCCAACATTTTACCCCAAAAATTTCCTCCAAATTTACAAAAAAAAATCAATTCTTAACCAAAATTCTCCCAAATTTTGCCCCAATTTTTTTGCCTACATTTCCCCATTTCCCCCCAAATTTTTCCCTTTCCCTTTTATTTTAATTTTACCCAAAATTGAGCAAAAAATTTCCACTTTTTTTTAGGAATTTTGCCCAAATTTGGGAGATTTTGACCCAAATTTTCTCCCCTCAGGTTCTGGATGCTCTGGCCCAGGGGCTCCCCCCTGAAAAGCTGCTCAAGGAATTGGTGAGTTTTGGGGAAAAATTCAGGAATTTTGGGAAAATTTTAAAAAACAACAAGAAAATTTTTAAATTTTGGGTTTTTTTTGCATTTTTTTAGGATTTTTTTTGGAATTTTTAGGGCATTTTTAAGGGGTTTTGGGTATTTTTTTGTGACCTTTCAGGACCTTTTTTGGGATATTTTGGAAGATCCTGAGGGGAAATTTGGGGAATTTCGGTTAAAATTTGGAAATTTTGGTAAATTTAGGATTTTGGGAAAGTTTTGGGGAATTTTTAGGGAATTTTTAGGATTTTTCTGGGAATTTTTTGAGGGTTTTTTAAGGAATTTTGGGGTTTTTTTGTGACCTTTCAGGACCTTTTTTGGCGGGAATTCGGGAGATCCTGAGGGAAATTTTGAGATAAATTTGGAAGATTTTGGTAAAAATTGGAAATTTTAAGGAAAATAAGTGATTTTTAAAAAATTTTTTGGGGATTTTTTGAGGATTTTTGGGACTTTTGGGTTTTTTTTTTTGAGAAATGTTGGGGGTTTTGTGACCTTTCAGGACCTTTTATGGCAAAAATTTTGCAAATCCTGAGGGGAATTTTGAGGAAAATTTGGGACATTTTGGTAAAATTTGTGAATTTTCATTAAAACTTTAAAAACTTTGGGGAAATTTTAAATTTTTTGGGTTTTTTCTTAATTTTTTGGTGTTTTTTGAGGAATTTTGGGGTTTTTTTTTCTGACCTTTCAGGACCTTTTTGGGGGGAATTTGGGAGATCCTGAGGGGATTTTTGATGAAAATTTATGGGATTTTCAGGAAAATCTGTGAATTTTCAGGGAAATCTAAAAAATTTTAGGGAAATTTGAAGTTTTGGGGATTTTTTATTAAATTTTTGGAGGTTTTTTTGAGGAATTTTGGAGTTTTTTTCTGACCTTTCAGGCCCTTTTTAGACTGAATTTTGGGAGATCCTGAGGAGAATTTTCAGGAAAATTTGGGGGATTTTGGTAAAATTTGGGAACTTTTAGTAAATTTTTGAATTTGGGGGATTTTGATGGAATTTTTTTGAAATTTTTAGGAATTTTTGGGGTGTTTTTGAGGATCCTTGGGGGTTTTTTTGTGCCCTTTCAGGACCTTATTTAGGGTAATTTTGGAGATCTTGAGGGGAATTTTAGGGACAATTCTGGGGATTTTGGGGTTGGTAAAAAATTTTAAAATTATGGAATTTTGTGGAATTTTTTAAATTTTTTTTTCAAATTTTTCTGAATTTTAAAAAAGTTTTCAGTGATTTCTTTGTAATTTTTCAGGACCTTTTTGGGGCAAATTGGGAGATCCTCAGGAGAATTTTGGGGAGAATTTAAAGGATTTTGAGATCAAAGCAAAATTTAAAAATTTGGGAATTTTTTGAGAATTTTTTTGAATTTTTTTTTTTAACTTTTTCCGATTTTTTTTTTTCATTTTCGGGGATTTTTTTCCTGTCCTTTCAGGACCTTCTGAGGGCATTTTGTGACTCCTGGATCAAATTCTGGGCCAAAATTTCGGAATTTTGCCTTCCTGGTGGATAAAAATAAGAAATTTTGGGTGAAATCCAGGAGAATTTCTAAATTGGAAAAATTTACACATTTTAATTCATTTTTTAAAAATTTTATTTCATTTTCCCGCGCTTTTTCTTAACGCCCTTCCACGACCTTGATGTTGAAAAATCCGAAACATTCTGAGGGAAAATCTTGAAATTTTGGGCTCCTCTGTGGCAAAACCCAAATTTTTACCAATTTTTGCCTCTCCAGGTGCAGATTTTGGGTCGTTTTCATCGTATTTTGAGTCATTTTTTGCCAATTTTTTATCATTTTTTTGGTCGTTTTCTGCCGATTTTCTGCTGATTTTCGCCGTTTTCCCCCCAAATTTTCCCCGTTTTTCTCTTCCCCCCGCTTCCCCCGCCCTCCCCCGCCACTTCCCCCCCTCCCCCCTCTCGTTTTTTGGGTGAAATTCCGGCGATTTTGGGGTCGGGCCGAACCCGGAAGTTGCCGCTGCTGGAGGGGGCCGGGTCGGGGCGGCTGCGCCGGCGGCCGCAAGGGGGCGCTGCTGGCGCTGGCCGCGATCGCGCGAGGCTGCGGCTCCGCCCTGCGCCAGCGGTGAGCTCCTAATATGGGCAAAATGGGCGTGGCTTCTCGGGAAGGGGCGGGGTTTGGGCCGTATATGGAAAACAGGCGGGGTTTATGGTAAAATGGGCGGGGTTTGAAGCCTTTTATGGTAAAATGGGCGGGGTTTGAAGCCTTTTATGGGAATGTGGGTAGATTTAAATCCTTTTACGGTAAAAAGGGCGGGGTTTAAGGGTTGTGGGTGGGGTTTAAAGCCTTTTATGGGGTTATGGGTGGGGTTTAAGGGTTGTGGGTGGGGTTTAAAGCCTTTTATGGGGCTGTGGGTGGAGTTTAAAGGTAGTGGGCGTGGTTTAAAGGTTATGGGCGTTGCTTAGTGCCTTTTATGGGATTGTGGGCGGGGCTTGGAAAGGTTTTGAGGGGGTTTGTGGGCGTGGTCTGAGCGTTTGTGGGCGTGGCCCGCAGGTATCTGGGCGTGGTCCTGGCGGCCCTGCGGGCCGGGCTGGGAGACCCCGAGGGCGCCGTCAGGGGGGCGGCGGCCGCGGCCCTGAGGGAGCTGAGAGAGGAACTGGAGGTACCGGGGTGAATTTTGGGATTTTTTGGGGTGAATTTTGGGGTTTTTGGGTTAAAATTTCAGTGAATTTTAGGTTTTTTTTATGGTGGATTTTTTGGGGGGGATTTTGGGCTGAATTTTGGGGGGTTTTTGGGGGAATTTGGGGGATTTTTGGGGGATTTTTTCGATTTTTTGGGCTGAATTTTGGGATTTTGGGGCGAATTTTGAGGGGTTTTTAACTCCAATTTTTGGGATTTTTTAGGGGGAATTTTGGGGGATTTTGGGATAAATTTGGGGGATTTTGGGTTCAAAATTTTGGGGTTTTTTGGGTGCTTTTTTGGAGGATTTTTGGGAGGTTTTGGGATGAAATTTTTGGGATTTTTGAGGGGATTTTGGGATCAAATTTTCGGGATTTTTGAGGGGATTTTGGGATGAAATTTTTGGGATTTTTGAGGGGATTTTTGGGATCAAATTTTTGGGATTTTTGAGGGGATTTTGGGCTCCAATTTTTGGGATTTTTTAAAATTTTTTGGGGATTTTAGGGTGGATTTTTGGGTGAATTTTTGGGGATTTTTCTGGAAATTTTGGGTGAATTTTGGTGACTTTTGGGTGCTTTTTTTGGATGAATTTTGGACGAATTTTGGGCCCCAATTTTTGGGATTTTTGAGGGGATTTTGGGCTCCAATTTTTGGGATTTTTTTTGAATTTTATGGGATTTTTGGGTGAATTTTGGGGTTTTTTAGGACATAATTTCTTAGAATATTTGGGTGAATTTGGGGATTTTTTTGGGTGCATTTTGGGGTGAATTTTATGGGATTTTTGGGTAAATTTTGGGCAATTTTGAGCTCAAATTTTGGGGATTTTTGGGGTGAATTTTGGGGATTTTTGGGCGAATTTTGAGGGGTTTTTAACTCCAATTTTTGGGATTTTTTAGGGGGAATTTTGGGGGATTTTGGGCTCAAATTTTTGGGGATTTTTTTTAAATTTTGGGCTCCAATTTTGGGCCATTTTGGGGTGAATTTTGTGGGATTTTTTTGGCCGAGTTTTGGGATTTTTGGGTGAATTTTGGGATTTTTTAGGCTCAAATTTTTGGGGATTTTTGGGTGAATTTTGGGGTGAATTTTGGAGATTTTGGGCTCAAATTTTTGGGACTTTTTGGGCTGAATTTTGGGGATTTTTGGGTGAATTTTGAGGGGTTTTTAACTCCAATTTTTGGGATTTTTTAGGGGGAATTTTGAGACATTTTTGTCTCAAATTTTGGGTGAATTTTTGGGGATTTTTTTTTTAATTTTGGGCTCCAATTTTGGGCCATTTTGGTGAATTTTGGGATTTTTTGGGCTGAAACTTTTGGGATTTTTAGGTGAATTTTGGGATTTTTTGAGCTCAAATTTTGGGAGATTTTGGGGTGAATTTTGACGATTTTGGGGGGAATTTTTGGGATTTTGGTGTGAATTTTTTGGGATTTTTGGGGGTGAATTTTGGGGATTTTTGGGGCTGAATTTTGGGGATTTTTGGGTGAATTTTGGGATTTTTTAGGCTCAAATTTTTGGGATATTTTGGGTGAATTTTGGGAGATTCTTGGGCGATTTTGGGGAATTTTGAGATTCAATTTTGGGGATTTTTGGGCTGAATTTTTGGGGATTTTGGGTCAATTTTGAGGGGTTTTTAACCCCAAATTTTGGGAATTTTGGGGGTCAAATTTTGGGTGAATTTTTGGGGATTTTTGGGGATTTTTGGGCTCCAATTTTGGGCCATTTTGGGGTGAATTTCGTGGGATTTTTTTGGTCGAGTTTTGGGATTTTGGGGGGAATTTTGGGATTTTTTAGGCTCAAATTTTTGGGATATTTTGGGCGAATTTTGGGCGATTTTGGGGTGAATTTTGGGGATTTGAGCTCAAATTTTTGGGGATTTTTGGGCTGAATTTTGGGATTTTTGGGTGAATTTTGAGGGGTTTTTGACTCCAATTTTTGGGATGTTTTCGGGGTGAATTTTGGGGGATTTTAGGGGGAATTTTGGGGGATTTTGGGCTCAAATTTTTAGGTGAATTTTTGAGGATTTTTGGGGATTTTTGGGCTCCAATTTTGGGCCATTTTGGGGTGAATTTAATGGGATTTTTTTGGCTGAGTTTTGGGATTTTTGGGTGAATTTTGGGGTGAATTTTGGAGATTTTGGGCTCAAATTTTGGGTGAATTTTTGGGGATTTTGGGCTGAATTTTTGGGGATTTTTGGGTCAATTTTGAGGGGTTTTTGACTCCGATTTTTGGGTGAATTTTGGGGTGAATTTTGGGGATTTTTTGGGTGAATTTTGGGAGATTCTTGGGGTGAATTTTGGGGATTTTTGGGCTCCAATTTTTGGCCATTTTGGGGTGAATTTCGTGGGATTTTTTTGGTCGAGTTTTGGGATTTTTGGGTGAATTTTGGGGTGAATTTTGGGATTTTGGGCTCAAATTTCTGGGATTTTTGGGGGGATTTTTGGGTGCCAATTTTTGGCTTTTTGGGTGAATTTTGGGCGATTCTTGGGCTGAATTTTGGGGATTTTGGGGCTGAATTTTGAGGATTTTTGGGTGAATTTTGAGGGGTTTTTGACTCCAATTTTCGGGATTTTTTAGGGGGAATTTTGGGGGATTTTGGCTCAATTTTTTGGGGAATTTTCGGGTGAATTTTGGGGATTTTTGGGTCAAATTTGAGGGGTTTTTAACTCCAATTTTTGGGATTTTTGGGGGTGAATTTTGGGGATTTTGGGCTCAAATTTCTGGGATTTTTGGGGTGAATTTTGGGCGTTTTTTTGGGTGGATTTTGGGGATTTTGAGCTCAAATTTTTGGGATTTTTGCGGTGAATTTTGACAATTTTGGGGCTGAATTTTGGGGATTTTGGGGCTGAATTTTGGGGATTTTTGGGTCCATTTTGAGGGGTTTTAACTCCAATTTTTGGGACTTTTTGGGTGAATTTTTGGGGATTTTTGGGCTGAATTTTTGGGGATTTTTGGGGATTTTTTTTTAAATTTTGGGCTCCAATTTTGGGCCATTTTGGGGTGAATTTGGGGATTTTTTGGGCTCAAATTTTTGGGATTTTTGGGTGAATTTTGGGGTGAATTTTGACGATTTTGGGGGGGAATTTTGGGGGATTTTTGGGGGTGATTTTTGGGGATTTTTGGGCTGAATTTTGGGGATTTTTGGGTCAATTTTGAGGGGTTTTTAACTCCAATTTTTGGGATTTTTTTGGTGAATTTTGGGAGATTTTGGCCTCAATTTTTTTGGGAGATTTTGGGGTGAATTTTGACAATTTTGGGGGGGAATTTTTGGGGATTTTGGGTGAATTTTTTGGGATTTTTGGGGGTGAATTTTGGGGATTTTTGGGGCTGAATTTTGGGGATTTTTGGGTGAATTTTGGGGATTTTAGGGCTGAATTTTGGGGATTTTTGGGTGAATTTTGGGATTTTTTAGGCTCAAATTTTTGGGATATTTTGGGTGAATTTTGGGCGATTTTTGGGGTGAATTTTGGAGATTCTGAGCTCAAATTTTTGGGGATTTTTGGGCTGAATTTTGTGGATTTTTGGGTCAATTTTGAGGGGTTTTTAACTCCAATTTTTGGGATTTTTGGGGTGAATTTTGAGACATTTTTGTCTCAAATTTTGGTGAATTTTTGGGGATTTTGTTTTAATTTTGGGCTCAAATTTTTGGGATTTTTGGGTGAATTTTGGGAGATTCTTTGGGTGATTTTTGGGGATTTTTGGTGGTGAATTTTGGGGATTTTTGGGTCAATTTTGAGGGGTTTTTAACTCCAATTTTTGGGATTTTTTAGGGGAATTTTGGGGGATTTTGGGCTCAAATTTTTGGGATATTTTGGGGTGAATTTTGGGGATTTTTTGGGTGAATTTTGAGACATTTTTGTCTCAAATTTTGGGTGGAATTTTTGGGGATTTTTTTTTAAATTTTGGGCTCCAATTTTAGGCCATTTTGGGGTGAATTTTGGGATTTTTGGGGCTCAAATTTTTGGGATTTTTTGGGTGAATTTTGGGCGATTTTTGGGGTGAATTTTGGGCGATTTTTTGGTGAATTTTGGGCAATTTTGGGCACAGATTTTGGGGATTTTTGGGGTGAATTTTGGCGATTTGTGGGTGAATTTTGAGGGGTTTTTAACTCCAATTTTGGGATTTTTTGGGCTGAATTTTTGGGATATTTTGGGTGATTTTTGGGGATTTTTGGGCTGAATTTTGGGGATTTTTGGGTCAATTTTGAGGGGTTTTAACTCCAATTTTTGGATTTTTTAGGGGGAATTTTGGGGGATTTTGGGTTCAAATTTTTGGGGATTTTTGGGGTGAATTTTGGGAGATTTTTGGGGGTGAATTTGGGGGATTTTTGGGGGGGAATTTTTGGGGATTTTGGGTGATTTTTTTTGGATTTTTTTTGGATTTTTGGGGAGGTTTTGGGCTCAAATTTTTGGGATATTTTGGGTGAATTTTGGGAGATTCTTGGGGTGATTTTTGGGCTAAATTTTGGGGATTTTTGGGTCAATTTTGAGGGGTTTTTAACTCCAATTTTTGGGATTTTTTAGGGGGAATTTTGGGGGATTTTGGGCTCAAATTTTTGGGGATTTTTGGGGATTTTGGGCTCCAATTTTGGGCCATTTTGGGGTGAATTTTGACGATTTTGGGGGGTGAATTTTGGGGGATTTTTTTGGTCGAGTTTTGGGATTTTTGGGGGAATTTTGGGGTGAATTTTGGGGGATTTTGGGGCTGAATTTTTGGGCATTTTTGGGTCAATTTTGAGGGGTTTTAACTCCAATTTTTGGGGATTTTTGGTGTGAATTTTGAGGGGTTTTTTAACTCCAATTTTTGGGATTTTTTGGGCTGAATTTTGGGGGATTTTGGGCTGAATTTTTGGGGATTTTTGGGCTCAAATTTTTGGGGATTTTTGGGCTGAATTTTGGGGTTTTTTGGGTTGATTTCCCCCTCACTGGTTTGTACTGGTTTATACTGGGAGCAGCCCGAGGTGTCCCAGGTGGCGGCCGAGGCCCTGCC